AAATACTTGCCTACAAGACTTCTATTGCCTTTTGATGAATTTGGGAATTCACTCTTGAGAGGTGTGTGCATATGTGAGATGTTTGGACACAGCAGGTTCCCGTATAAAAAAAGCCCTGAATAAAACCTCCTTCTTTTCTTAACCCCAAGTAACATCACACATAGACAGAAACAGGGATTTAACTTTCAACGTGTCCTTGACATGGACAATGAGAAATAGCCTCAGTGACCTTGGGATGACACTGGATTGTAAGACAGTGGTAGGTTGGGGTGTGTGGGATGAAGCATACAGTTAGCTTAGTGCTACAGCTGGGCATAATACAATGAAAGAAAGAAAGAAAGAAAGAAAGAAAGAAAGAAAGAAAGAAAGGAGTGTTATCAATTATTTGGTTGAGATTCCTACATTTCAGGGGGTTGGACTAGATGACCCTCAGAGTCCCAACTCTACAGTTCTATGATTCTACCTGCCACTGCCAGCCTGCTGCACATATTCCCACCCCACTCCACCCCTTTCCCCTCATTCAGCGAACCAGGGCTTTCCCAGACCACCTCCAGTCACCCCAGTCAGGCTGCAGAGGAGGAGTGGGGTGGGAGCAGCATTTTCAGTTTTGCCTCAAGTGGGAAAAACATCCCAGCCAACTTCCCATCCCTGGACCTGAATAATTTCCCCTCACTAGGGACTGGAGCTGTGTCCAGCACCAAGGGAATGGTTCTACAAACTAGTTAATCAAGACAACATGGTTAACATAAGCTTTCCTTCTAATTAAAACACATGGTTTGGAGAGGGGCGATTGAAGTCAAAAGTAGACAAACTGAAAGAGAATCACAGCAATCCTTTTTACAAATAAGCTACCAGTCTCTCCAAAGTTTGACCTGGTAAGTAAAAAAAAAAAGTACTGTATGTTATTCAGGAGAATGGGAGCAGTTGGGTGGCTATATGGAAACTAGAAGGTCTCTTAAGTGATTTCTCCATAGATGCTTTCCTGAACCTCTCTCTTCATATGGCTCCTGGCATCTTCTCCTGCCCTCCCTGCCTGCCAGCCTCAGTAGATTTCCCCCTACCCTCCTCTTTAAGAATACTAATATTAAAAAACTCTTTTCTATTGCACACACATGTTCAAGGCAAGGAAGCTGGCACTGCCCTAAATTTCGGAGTCTGAAACCAAAAGCCATGAGCCCAAAGACTTGGTTCCTGCATCAGTAGCCTCATTAATTTTTGTAAGGCATCTTAAATTGTTCTGAATATTCTCAGGAAATTACATTGAAAAGGAATGATACCGAAGAAAGTTGCAACTCCCTAACTGGAAGACACTACATCTATTGAGCAATGTGGCTATTATTTTAAAGTTTCTGTTTTGGATAAATATCCAAGTTTCACCTCTTAGCTCCGTTGCCTGCTACAGTTTAGTGGTACTGTGTTATTGATGTCAGACTGTATACCGTATTTTAAAGGCTTTTAATTATACTTCATCTGTTTGTATTGACAGAAATATATGCCAACTCTGTTCCATTTGCACTGGCTAGAATGAGCATCAGAATGTGAAGTTTCTTGTCATTATCAGATTTTATTAGTAAGTGCTCCCTTCTTTTTGTGAATGTGTTCTGTATCCTTTCGGTATTACAGTGGAACCTTGGGTTAAGTACTTAATTTGTTCCGGAGGTCCTTTCCTAACCTGAAACTGTTCTTAACCTGAAGCAACACTTTAGCTAATGGGGCCTCCGGCTGCTGCCACACCACCGGAGCACGATTTCTGTTCTCATCCTGAAGCAAAGTTCTTAACCTGAAGCACTATTTCTGGGTTAGTGGAGTCTGTAACCTGAAGCGTATGTAACCTGAAGCGTATGTAACCCGAGGTACCACTGTACTTCCTTTCCCTTTGTTCTTTTAGATTCAACATCTAGGAACAGGTTATCTAATATCCTTTGGAAGGCTTCTAGTAGGAATTATCACTACCACCATTATCATAAATAATTATCAAAATACAAATTGCTTTTAGGCTAGAGGGTCAGTGTCTTTCAGAGCACCAACTTATTGAAAGCCAGGGTCTCTTTGGTTCCATCCTCAGCTTTTGCCTCATTCTGATCAACACATGTGAAAATTTAAATAAATCTGCACCACCCTTTGCTCTCTTTTTGGTGATAATTAAGTGACCACTTATCCCCACCCTATCTCCTCTAGTTTTGTTTAATGTCATTCTCTTGCAATAAAAAGAATAAATCAATCTGAATGCACATTTCGCTAACAGCCTGCCTCTTGTAAGAGGTTTTCAGGAAGCAGGTTTGCTCCTCATATCCCTTCCCCAACTCCATATCTGTGAAGTCTTTTTATGTGCTCCATATCTGTGAAGTCCTTGCTGCTAGGTAAAAGCTAATTTATTAAAGAGCTTGGCCATCTGTTAAGAGATCAGATTGTCCCAACCCTCTGGAGAACTGTTACAATAATTTTAAGGTGTACACACATAGTGGGCCATATTCCACAGAAAACCAATCCTTCACCCTTCAAAATTAGGAAATATTTCCCTGAAAAAGTAGGCACTTTACTTTAGCACACTGGACAATCCCAAATCCATATTGTTTTTCCTAATGACCCCAAATATTTCTTCAGCAGAAGGAAGTATATTTGGGGAAAAAACCTCCCCCAATAGTTCTTTTCACTTACAAATCCTTTAAATCATATTATGTATATGAATAGGGTAGGTCTGTGACCTGGATTCAGGAACTAAGGTATTTACCATCTCAAAAGAATGGCCCAGGCTGGCCAGGTAATGCAACCAGTAAAATATTATCAGGTATCTTGACAGACAGGAGACAAGTCACACTCAAATTTCTGTTGTAGACCTCCTCTTTTGGTGGCAAGTGTATGAAGCTTTTTGGGTGCCCCCTGGCTAAGGGGCTGGGCAGTTTCTAAAGCCTTTGAAAGTTATTGGACACCTTTGTTCTGGGTCCTCACCACCTACCAAAGGGGGCAAAGAATTCTGTTGCAACAGGTAAATAAAGATCCGCCTTGCTTTCACTGCCTCCTGCCTCCATCCATTCTTCTCTGACTGATAATGGACTTAGGGGACAAGTGGAGTCCCTTGATGGAGAGTTGAGCTGTTAAAGGCAACCCCAGATTTTTCTGTAACAGAATGTTGTGCTCCCCAATAAAATAAATATTGGTTATCCCTGGATAACTGGGGATGTCATCTGCAGGCACATGCATGCCCATAGGCCAAGTGCTGGCAATATGCCTCTAACCACTACACTTGCTTGTTCTCATGGTTCCCATTGCTGGGAAGTTATTAAAATAAATGATAAGTTTGTGGATTTGTATACACCTAAAGGAAAGTACAATATGGTGAATAAAAATACAGTGGTACCTCGGGTTAAGTACTTAATTCGTTCCGGAGGTCCGTACTTAACCTGAAACTGTTCTTAACCTGAAGCACCACTTTAGCTAATGGAGCCTCCCGCTGCCACTGCGCCGCTGCTGCACGATTTCTGTTCTCATCCTGAAGCAAAGTTCTTAACCTGAAGCACTATTTCTGGGTTAGCGGAGTCTGTAACCTGAAGCGTATGTAACCTGAAGTGTATGTAACCCGAGGTACCACTGTAATGTAAAAGATGATTCCCACCCACTCCTTTATAGCAATCACACAAAACTATTCCACCCTACCTTTGGGGGATAAACTGTGTCAAGAGATATCACTGAATACCATGAATATGCAGTACTTGGAATTCACCTAGTTTTTTCTTCTTCTTCACTGGTTGCATGACATCTTCCTAAGCAGAAAATTTGAGAATTCTGCCATCACACATAGGGGCACCATCAGTTCAACTTAATAATTAATCAAAGAGTAGATATTTAATTTTTATATAAAGCTGGGGGGAGGAAATAAGCTAGGTTTTTATAGAGTTCCTTCTAAAGTGGCATGAATGAAAAGAAAGGAGCAGGAAAACCTATGGTGAAACTAGAGAAAAAAGCAAAAAAGAAAAAAGAAAAGCTGCACAAATCTGGTAATGCAGATAATACCAATACGTATAAAGAGGTGCTGTCAAAATTTAGAATTCTGTATTTTAAAAGTACAGCTAAGGAGAAATACTGCCATGTACTAATTAAAAATAACCTGTTTTTTTACCCTAGTATACATTGACACATTGCTGGAATTGGGCTGTGGGGAGCAGTGTGGAGATAACCAAATGAGCATATGCTGTTTGTGGCCTAATATAAGGTACTCTGTGCATACAAGCAAGCTGAGGCAGGCTCTGCTTTCCTGTATCTTAAAAGCAGACTTCAAAGTATCCAGCAGGGAGTTAATATTGATTGTGTTATTGTGTATTATCTATGTGCAGTCTTGACATGGTCAGAAGTGGTTTAACAGGCTTAATTTCTAAAGATAAATTGCTGGTGGCGCTGTGGTCTAAACTACTGAGCCTAGGGCTTGCCGATCGGAAGGTCGGCGGTTCGAATCCCCACGACTGGGTGAGCTCCTGTTGTTTGGTCCCTGCTCCTGCCAACCTAGCAGTTTGAAAGCACATCAAAGTGCAAGTAGATAAATAGGTACCGCTCCGGTGGGAAGGTAAACAGCATTTCCATGTGCTGCTCTGGTTTGCCAGAAGCAGCTTAGTCATGCTGGCCACATGACCCGGAAGCTGTATGCCGGCTCCCTCGGCCAGTAAAGTGAGATGAGCACCGCAACCCCAGAGTCGTCCACGACTGGACCTAACGGTCAAGGGTACCTTTACCTTTACCTTTAAGTGTGCCTGAGAGCCATATGATATCTACTAGAAGTTTTGCCCCACTATGGGTGGTATTCAGCTAGGTTTTACTTAGAAAAAGCCCACTGAAATTAATTGGACACTCCTGTAGCATAGCTGTGAACTTTCAGATTTGAAAATAAGGGATCAGCAGCCTCACCTGTCCCAGGGACAGTCTACGGGATATCTAACAATCCGGGATAGCAGCAGGAAACGGCGCTGGAATAAGGGAATTTCCCACAAAAAAGGGAAGGTTGACAGCTATGTCCTGTAGTGCAATGAGTCAGTGTGTCTGGCTGTTAACCAAAAAGGTTGGTGGTTCCAGCCCACCCAGGGATAGCTGTGGGCAGAATTCCTACATTGCAGAGGGTTGGACTGGATGACCCTCGGTGTCCCTTCCAATTCTACAGTTCTACAGTTCCAAGTTAGGCCCATTAATTTCAGCTGAGTCCACTCAGAGTACAGTACAACATAGTTGAATGCCACCCTATGCTTATATTTGTGGAGCGCTGTTGATGGTTCTTTAGTGCCAAGAGAAATTAATTGAGTACTGTATATAACAATAGTTTTACTCAGAATAGTTCCACTAAAATTCATGAACATGGCTAAGCTAGGTCCATTAATTGCTATTATTTATTTTTAACTTAATTGTTCCAAGACAGAGTCATCGCATTTGAAAAGATATTGGAGCTGAAATTTTGCTCTCTATTTTTTGTGGTCTGTTTCTCTTAATCCATTTAAGATGTGATAAGGGTATTCATATAAATTATGCAGTGGACCAAAAGTCGTAAGAAGTTGAGGCTGCAAATATAGGTCTAATTCTTCAAGTAACCAATATGAAAATCAAATTAATATATATTAAAATAAATTAAAACTGAAGTTATTATTTATAACTGAATGAGAGTCAGCATAGTATAGTGGTCACTTTGATTAGAACTGGAGAGACTTATGTTGAAATCTTCACTCAGCTGTGAAGCCCACTGAGAACTATAGGGCTATTTCAGTCTAACCTACCCCCCAGGGTGGTTGTGAGGATAACAATGTATGCTGCTTTGTCCGTGAAGGAAAATGGGTTATAAATGAGGCAAATAATTTGAAGAACTGGATTGTAAATTGAAGTAGGAAATTCAACAAGAATACAGTATAAATACAATATAGGAAAAGACTGGCTGGGCTATAGCTTTGCAGATAAAGAATACAGGCATTACAGCAGATCACAAACTACTGTACTTTATAGGAGGCACTGTCATAAAAAGGCGAAAGCCATTTTGTGTTGCCTTAGTAGAAACATTATAGCCAAGACACAGTATTAGTCCTGCTCTGCTTAACACTGATTAGGTCTCAGCAGAGCGAAATATGTAAAAATTTGACTGCTTAATGCTGAATACGATGCAAAGGAAAAAATGGAAGATTCAGGAAACAGCATCAGAAACATGATATATAGGAATTTTGAAGGGACATCTTATATTTATCATGTACAGGGTAAAATATATGGAGGTTTCAGACAATGAGTGCTACTCCTGAGCAACTGCCTCTGGAACAATTTTTTAATTTTAATTTTTTCACAAAGATTGCTTTTAAAGTAGGAGGATGTGGTTTTTCTTTGATAATAAAGAACAAGATGCCATGCTTATAACTTATGGGAAGAATCATTTAGGTTGCATTTTCCATCCAGGAATAATTACTTTGGAATACAGGTAAAGGGAGGGGAGGGAATTTTGTGTTGCTTGGTTTGGTTTTTTGATGTGGCAGATCTAACCCAGACTCAGTTCTGAAACGTATTTGCAACCACCGGGGCTTAGTGAGTCCTGGGAAATGTAAAGTAACGATACAAGGAAAGTGTCGCCGCCGAGCATTGCAGAGTGCCTTTCCTTCTTCGCCACTGAGTCATCGTGGCCGGTCCCCACACACCTCATTAGCAGGCCTTGCAGGGTAGGTGGCAGGCAGGCTTTGCAGCAAGCGAAACTACGCAGGGCATCCAGGGCAGGGCAATGGAGACAAATGGTCTGAGAAATCGGGGAACGTGGGGAGGATCGGTGCAAGAGGCTGGGCCATCTGCAGCAGGGATTTGGTCGGCGAATGAATCCTGCCTCGGTGCAAGGGGGGAGAGGGAATGGACGGCTCCCGAGGATCCTTCTGATTTTGGAACGATTCAGCCCCAGCCACAAGTTCGCGCCTAAGCAAGATGCACGCAACGCACGTGATCCCGTGCTTTTGCACCCCCGGCGCGCACACATGTATATGCACGCTTGCAAAACATGTCAGCACATGCCACCACACGAGAATACACACAGCGAGGCGAGCTCGCAGGCAAGTGCGCGCGCCTGCCTCGGCTCCCCTCCCCTCCCCGCGCGAGCCCGCCCAGGGTGGCTGCTGTGGCAGAGATTGGTGTGTTTTTCCCCATCTGCGTCACATGGCTGCCCCTCCCCCCCGCCCGCCTGCCCCTCCCCTCCCTGTCGCGGCTCGGCGCTCGGCTCAGGTCACTTTGACAAGCTCGCGCTCGCTCTCCTCCCCCTCCGCCGAGCAATTAGCATATTAATCAGCCCCCGGGATCGGGATTCGGAGCCGATCGGAGCGCCTCGTCTACGCGCACGGCGGGGCCGGAACGCAGCGTAGCCCAGCCCTGGACTCGCCGAGAGACGCGGGATCGGGCTGCTGCTGCTGCTGCTGCCGCCGCCGCTCCGCTTGCTGCGGTTGCTGCGCTTCCCGGCGGGGAGGCCCCGCGATCGGGGGGCGGCCTTGCCCGAGGGCTCGGCCGGGGTCTCTCTCAGGGCGGCGGATGCCAGGGCCCCGCCGAGCGGGCACGTCGCACCTCCCCTGCGCCAGGCCGGGCATGTGAAGATGTCAGTGGGCTGTGCGTGCCCAGGTGAGTGCGAGCGCTCGGGGAAGCAGGGCGAGGGGAGAGAGGAGGGAGCGGTGGGGCGTACATCCTTCTCGAAGCCTGGGAGAAGCGCCTGCCTCCCTGCCCCTGCCCGGGCCCCTCTGCAACCAGACGGAAAACAACCCCGCAGAAACCTCCTCCCTCCCTCCCCTCCCCTCCCAAGCAGGGGGAGCAGTTTTGGGGATGGCGGGGTTTCAGCCGAGCATGAGGCGCGGGGCTGTGGGGGAACCTGGCGTTGGCTTGGGATCTGTGCGCGCGCGCGCGTTTGCGGTAGGGCATTTTGCTTGCTACTAGTATAGCTGGTATCTGGCCAGAGAGTGGGGGGCGGGGGGGGGGGCTGGCGCGCTGTGCCCAGCGCTGAGGTGAATGCCTGTTGGAGTTGCTCCTGTGATGGGGGAGGGTCTCCGGGACTGGGAGTGGGGCACTGTGCAGTTAAGAGGAATGCTGGGAATGGGGGGGGGGGTCGGGCTAGGATAGCTAGATCAACATTACAAAAATAGTTGTGGGAGGGACCTGTGCTCTGTGACAGCAGTGGCTGCGCGGGTACTGCTCTCCAGGGGTGTTCGGTTGTGGGGCGGAGGGTCGTCCTGTGGGGGTTGTATTCAGCAGTGGGGTGCCGATATCCTCAAGGGATGTTGCTTTGCAGCGCGCGAAGGTGTGCGCTTCTTCCGCCTCTACAGGGTTCTATGCAAACGTCTCTTCCGTTTTTAGGATCACTAATTCCAGTAATTCATAGCCTGACAGTACTCAAGGATGTGGTTTATTGGGGTTCACTCCAGTCTGGTGAGGTTAAGCATTGCCTCCAGAGTTGCTGTGGTTGTGACCACTTCTGGCTTGACTTGTTCGGCCCAAGAAGGGGGATGAGGAAGTTGCTATTTTGGGGGGACGGGGGGGGGGGGAGGACTGACTATTGCCCTGCAACTGCTCTTTTTGGAGAAACTGTTGAAACTACATGGTTGTTGGGTCTCTCCTCTTTGCTAAGTGCTTTTGAGTTGGAGTAGGGGAAGAGGAGAACTAGCTGGCTCATTAACATAGATTTTTATTGGTTTTAATTTTTGTATTATATTGCAAGTTGCTTTGAGTTTGCATTTCCTTTAAAAAAAAAGATCAACCAACAAGTTTAATAAATAAATAAATAAATTGATTTAGCTGTCAGGCGTTCAGCTCTGTGCCAACATGGGTCTTACTGTGCTATCAGAGTGAAAATTTCCTGATAAGCCTGGGAGTTGCTCCAGAACTAGAGAGTTTTGTAAATTCTGGGTGCTCCTCAATATAGTATTATGCCCCACAACCATTGCTCCAGAGCTTTTAAAACACTTGCACGTAAGTTGCCATAGTTGTGAAATGTGAAGCCAAGCAGGGACCCATCCCATTAGTGTTTGGTAAAAGACAGGTGCCAGTCAGGAAGGCTAAGATCTGGGATTGGGTGTGTCTGATAACTGAGGAATTCATTAAGTATTCAAGACTGCTGCTAAGAGGGAGCTGATGGCCATCCTCCATAAAGCATCAAGGATGGGTACTGATTCTCTGCAGACTGTCTGTTCCATTATCAGAACTCTTTGTCTAATGCTATCTCTCTAAATGCCATGAGTGGTGGTGTGGGGTCAGACAGCTTCCCCAGTAGGTTTTCTTCAAAGATGTGTTTGACATGACCATGCTCAACTCCCTTTCCAGCCCCTTTCCTTTTGGAACAATTGCTGCCCGTGGCTCCTCTTCTGCTTCAGCAGCCTGTGACACAATCAAGCAGATTGTGTGGGCGTCACTGAAAAGTTAGGCTGCTTTCAGTAGGGAGCCTGCTGTGCTGCACCCACACAGCCCATGGTTTTTTGGGGAAAACCCTTCACAGCAGAGGCCTAATTTGCCAGAGAGGCTTCACTAATGACCTCCCAAAACTGACAGGGAAGTGGTTTGACTGTCTGAGAATTTATACCTCACTCTTAGAGGGGTGCTGCACCCCACACTGAGGTAATGCTAGTGGCCAGGTAATGTCCAACTGCTCCATCTCCCAGTGACACACCAGCCTGACCCAGATTTCCTGAGTGTGGGTCAATTTCCTCCAGTGGGCATGGGCCATTACTGCATATCTCCCAGCACACAGGAGCCTCCGCCTAATCTGACATTGGATCCCTGAGACCCTAACCTCTCAGATTCCCTCATTACCCCCTACCTGTTGTCTGCTTGAATCTACTTCCCTGGCTTGCAGCAATCTCTGTTTCTAAACAACCCCCCTTCCCTTCCACTTCCCTTCCCCCACAACCTCCTCCTCCATCTCCCGCTGGAAGCTGCCAGAGCAGCGGCTGCTTCCTCAAGCAGAAAGTCACGTGTTCTCCCTCCAAAGCCAGGCCAAACATTTAAAGCACCAGGCACAGCGTGGGTTTCTTCTCCCTCTCCTCCCTCCAGGCATTCCTCCTTATCTAGCCCTGCATTGGCCCTTCCCGTCTGCTGGCCAATACAAGTGGGGTGGGGTGGGGGGCAGCCAGGGTACTCCATGTCCCAAGGAGCCTGCAATCTGCCTATAAAAAAACAGGTCTGCTGCTGCTGCTGCTGCATAATGCCTGGCTTTTCATAGAGGATCTTGCATTAAGCAAGATGAAGATTGATCCTCTCTGCATCCTTAGCTACCGTACATGGCACTCCTGTTTTCTTTCACATTCAAGGTTGGACCTGTGCGTACCAAGGGACTTGTTAAAATCCCAGCTCCCCAAGGTGTGCACAAGACAACAAATGCTGTGTTGTAGCCATGTCTTGTCCCAGGTGTTTCTAGATAGCATCTTACAAATGGCCTGGGGTTCAGAAGGCCCCGTAGGAGAACCAGGTCCCCCTGCTAGAATGGGCGCTGGCTATTTCCAATGGCTTCAGAGGGGAAGTAAGCAGCCATGGTTGTGCCTCCGTGCATGTGCATCTTTTTTCATGCTGCAACTGTAGTTTTCCCCATGATTTTGCTCCTAGGAGCCCATAACAGACTGTTTATCGGAATATAGAACAAACAAGCTCTGGTTCTGGCCTCCTGCCAGCTAGAAACATTTAATGAGCCTCTCGTGTGGCTGCTCTTATGGAGGGGGGGCTGCATTAACTTGGAGGAGTTTCCAGCTGTGGGTGTATTTGCCTTTAAAGGGGAAGCCATGGCATTTGTAAGTTACAACAAAAGGGTTGCCTCTATAGGGCATTTCTCCATGTGGTGTAGCTCTGTATTCCTTCCATTTTCTCTAGGACAGAAAGCAAGACTAGTGCCTCACACGCATCCTGTAGACCAGAGGGAAATACCTGATTCCAGTGTGCTTACTGAGTCTCTTGCCTTGCACCAATCCTTCCATGCCTTTTTCCAAATTCCTCCAATTTCCCAGAAGCAGACATCCTTCTTGATTTTTTTTAAAAAGTGGGGGGTGGCTATAAAATGTATGATGCAGGAGAGCCTGATGGAAAGCAGGGATGTGTGTGTGTAATGATGATGTTGGTGCTGGGTGTGATGTCTCACTGCCACAGCTGGGCCTGCAGGGTTGTGTTATGCAGTGCGTTGTGTACCATATGTTGACTTCCATTATGAAAATTCTTGTGTGATCAGGACACCGCAGTAGTTTGTGCAAATAAATGTGCTTGTGTATATGTTATAAAGCTGTTTCCTATGAAGCTGCAATTGTTCAGATAAACAACTCTGCTTCAGAAAGGACTGGAAATGTTTAGTTTTGTAAAGGTGTTGTGGTTTTGCAGCTGAAGATTGGCTGATAAACCTGAGTCCCTGGCTTCTCCATTGGTATGTGGCATGGTTCACTTGCCAACACCATTTTGATCCCACCCCCTCAAGGAGTACTTTAGGGCATCCACAAAAATAATATATTGGCTTTTCTCAGTGTAGTAGTGCTGGACATAGTGATACAGGGCCCTGCAGAAGCCCATTTGGCTTTCTTGGAGAGATTTCACAATTTTTTCCTTTGTTATAGACAACAGTCACACATTGGGTTAATAAGGAGAACCCAGAAGATGTTCCTCCCATACAATTCCTTCCCATGTTTTCTCTGCTGTTTGCTTTTTCCTTTCTTCATAAAGGCATTTATACCCCACCCTTTAACAAAAAAAGGCCCTTGAAGCATCTTACAAAAATCAGTACCAAGTTCTTTCTCATTGTGGTTTTTAAAAACTGGCATATGAAAATGTTCTTTTGTTTTTTTCTTTGACTTCCAGTGCAGTTGCAACACAAACATTTCAGCGGTTGCTATTGTCTCACCTGGTGCAGAAAAGTGCTTTAGAACATAGCTGGGGATAGTATGAAGTCCTGCCTTTCTGCATTGCTTACCTTGCAGCTACCTGTTTACACTTCTTCCATTACCTGTAACACAATCCCTAATGTTATTATTTGTCCAACAGTTGGCATTAGCCTTTTTTTTGTTTTGTTTCACTCATTAAATTTTAATTTCATTTTATTTATGGCACTTCTCAGATTTTCCAAATTTGTAAAGCGGATTGTGGGGGGTAGGATACCTGACACTGCTCACTAGTTCTGTGCCAGGGACTGGGCAGCTCTAATGTGCCACCCACTTCCACCTTTCCTCTCACATTCCAGGACAATAACAGTTTGGAACTACAGTGATAATCTCACTCTTAGCTGATTGCAGAAGAGCAGCGCCTCAGTAGCACTAAAGAGCCATAATGAAGAAGCACCTTGGGCCATTGCAATGCTCTATTTGCATTTTCCCACACCTGCAAAGAATAATTTTATAAGTGGTTTTTCCGGAAATAGGAATGCAGGACATGGAACATAGGAAGCTGTCGTATATACTGAGTCAGACCATTGGTCCATCTAGCTCAGATGTTGCACTGACTGACAACGGCTTCCTAGAATTTCAGGCAGGGAGTCTTTCCCAGCTCTACCTAGAGATGCCAGGGATTGAACCTGGGACCTTCTGCATACAAAACAGATTCTCTGCCACTGAGCTATGGTCCTTCCCATTTAAGGCAGAGGTGGAATCCTTCCCTTCCCATTACTTTCACAAGTCAGTGTTACAGCTGATGGAGACTCTATTACTGATTTCTGAAGGTGGCTTTGCACAAGAAAATGGGAACCAGGTGGCCAAAGACACTTGGTTAAGTGGGTTTGTTCTGCAAAGGAGATGCTACTTATATACAGTCGTACCTTGGATCTTGAACGCCTGGCGACTCAAACGTTTTGGCTCCCGAACTCCGCAAACCTGGAAGTGAGTGTTCTGGTTTGCGAACGTTCTTTGGAACCCAAATGTCTGACATGGCTTCCGTGGCTTCTGATTGGCTGCAGGAGCTTCCAGCAGCCAATCGGAATCTGCGCCTTAGTTTCCAAACATTTTGTAAGTCAAACGGACTTCCGGAACAGATTCCGTTCGACTTCCGAGGTATGACTGTATAATGGCTCATATTGCCTCAGAATTATTCTCTGTTCTGAGCCCTTCATCCATCAAATGTTGGATCTGTTCTGAGCCCTACATCCATCAAATGTAAGTAAATACAAATAGGTTATGATTGCTTTGTTTCCCTTCTCCTACAGAATTTAGAACAGGGGTCAGCAAACTTTTTCAGCATGGGGCTGGTCCACTGTCCCTCAGACCTTGTGGGGGGCCGGACTATATTTTGAAAAAATAAATAAAAAATGATCGAATTCCTATGCCCTACAAATAACCCAGAGATGCATTTTAAATAAAACCACACATTCTACTCGTGTAAAAACACCAGACAGGCCCCACAAATAACCCAGAGTTGCATTTAAAATAAAAGGACACATTCTACTCATGTAAAAACACGCTTATTCCCAGACCGTCTGCGAGCCAGATTTAGAAGGCGATTGGGCTGGATCTGACCCCCGGGCCTTAGTTTGCCTACCCATGATATGCTTGAGCAAGGAAAAGGGAGAGAAGCATTCTGTTGTGGGAGCACTATAGTGGCAGAGTGATTGGAGCTGGGGGCCAAATAAGCAACTTGGGTAGAGCTCAAAAGTTCTCCCATTACCCCTGAAAGCTCAAACCAAAAGCCTCTTTGGTTTCTGAATTTTCAGCAGTCTTTCTCCGCAGTTGTGAGGACCGGAAACTTGATTTTAAAAAACAAGAACTTTATGAAAGCTGAGATGCCCAGTCCTGATACCATGCAATATTGATAGTACTATTGTATTTGTCCTGTCAGAGCAGTTTTTCCTTAGGCATTGAACACTTCTGCCTTCCCTCAAAGGGGAAGTACTGCCTAATGAAATTATGAAGTGCAGTAGAGTAGTTCCTGGTTCTTCTCCATTTGAATCATCACTGAATAGTCAGGCTATTTATTAGGCTACATAGGATTTAAAGTGCTCCAGATATCCAAATGGCCTCAGAGCACATGCACAGACCCTGATTCCATGACTGCTGGCTGACTGGAGATTGTCACAAAACATGTGGCCAGTGTTAGAAACTGAGATAGAAATGGCTCCTGGGACCTGGGTTGTGGGCGCCTAAACAGAATATCTAGTGTGGCCATTTGGTGGTGGTGGGGAAGTCGGCAATGCTTTTTATTTATTATTTTGTTAAGCATGAACAATGTGCAATTCACATAAGTGACATATTGTTAATATCATATTTTTAACAGAAATTGTTAATACATGTTTAATTTGGTGTTTACAATAAAAATATTGGTACTATACTTCGGTTTTCTAAACACTACTCTTTATTACTAAACTCCTTGACATATTGTCTATCCTAAACCTTAACATATACTTTGAGCCTTCAAAGCACATGCAAATGGAGAATCTTTAGATGCAAAATGCACCTGGTGCCCTGCTAATTTCAAACCCTGCATGTAGCCAGGGATGGCTTCTGTTGGGTTTGTGTGTTTGAAAAAGAGGGGTGGTGGCAGCTGTTCAATAGATATTTGAAATTCCTCCTTTCTTGTGGGGTTATTCAGTGCTGTGAATACTTCCCACAAATATCTGTTGCTGCTAAAGAGTCTGGGAATTTGCTTCATGCTAACTTTCTGCCCCTCTAATCCAGGGTCCACAGCTAACAATCCCAAAGACCCCGTATTACCTTTAGGCTACTGTCAGATGCTTTCCATGAAGATCAAGGTGCTACTAAGTATAAACAATAGGCAGATGTTGCCTCTGACTCCCAAGGGATTATTGCTGAAGGACATTCTCTTGTGCAATTCACCACAATATTTAGAATTGGAAAGTCTTCTCTTAACCCTTTGGAGTAACTGGTCAGGGATGCTTGCATGGCAAATGGAGAAGTTAGTTGTGAGTTGAAGAAACAGGGCAGGTACCACATGGTGGCTTCAAGGACATTAAGTATAAGATGGAAGAGGCATCAGTGGTGCTCCTTACTGGAGCGAAATACACTGCTGGCCAGAATGAGAGTATTTTAGTAGCATTATAGCAGCAGGAAATTGGGTCCTTTTAGTAGACACTTGTAGAAAGACAAGAAAGAGGTGGCAATGGACATTCCCAGTGGGGAGAGGAAACCACTGCAGTAGCAACTTTGTAGTCACAACCTGGAATTTAATGTACAGTAGATAGAAACACAGTTGTCTGCTGATTACATGGAGATAAGGCCAGAATGCAGGTACATTTTCTCTGTCTCTGTCTGCCTGTCTGTCTTTCTCACAGAGAGAGTATTTCTCTTTCCCAAGCTTTTGAGCAGCTCTTTTTCTCTTTGCAAAGGATGGAGTTTTCAAGTGCATGCAGAGATCGACATGTTTCACTCGGGTAGCCTTCCTATGCCAATCTCTAATATGGAAAATGTGGGTGTAGCCAAACAAATAATCAAAAGTATTCATGGGATCTGTTAGGTCCAGATGGGTCTGTGATTGTCCATCTGCTCCAACAGACATAGTCAACAGAGGAAGCCACTTTACACTGAAACAGACCACTGGTTCATCTAACTCAGCATTGCCTACCCTGATTGGCAGTGGTCCTCCTGGGTTGCAGGCAGGGGACATTCCTAACCATTCACAGAGATGCCTGGGACCTTTTGCATGCTCTATTATGAACCATGGTCCTTCCCTCGACATGACTAGGGCTGTATGATTAATTATGTTGTAGAGTAACCAGGAACTGGAAAATTCAACATAATTCATGGATGTGAAAGAACCTAGGAGATCCATGAAGCAGATCCTGTGGAAATTGTGGAGCCTCCAAACAGGATGCCAGATGTGACTTCATGAGGCTGGAAACAGAATACTGAACTAGACTTAAGCTAATGATGCTACTGCAGCTCGTTTGTCTCAGCAGTGGATGCTGGAAAGAGATGACAGGATGCAGAGGGAACTTTCTTATTGTCCAAGCTAGGAAGGGGTGGAAGATGCTGGTAGGGATTGTTTTCAGACGAAGATAGGAGGTTCTAGGCAGGGCTGTTGCTGCACCTGGATGCAGTAAGGGTTGGCAGTGAGAAGCAGTAGTGAGAGATTGCTTGATGGAGCCCGTGGGTGCTGAGTGGGGGCAGGAGCAGTGGATGCCTGGTGGGGGGCGAGTGAGCTGCTGTGTCATACTGGGCCATGATTGGTGCTTTTCCTGTGTGCACTCAGAACTGAAGCAGGAGTTAATTGGGAGCTGTCACATGCTGGGTGCATGTGAGCCCTTGCCAGCCACGCTGCGGCATCTAGCTCTGCTCTGCCGCTCGGCTGCCCAGGGAATTCACCAGCCAACCAGCTCTGAGACAAACACAAAGAAACCTCCGTGCTGCCAGCCTGGGGGCACACACTGCGCAGCCTGGGCATGCACCAGCCTTGGGAATAGGGAGGGGGCAGGCAGGGCCTTGGAGGGAGAACTGCAGGGGGCAGGATATGCTTCCTACTGGGGCAGGCTGGGGCTGGAGTGAAATTGGAATTCCCCTCCACCACCCGGCAGCTCCTGCCGTCATTCAGACATTGCTTTCAGCAGGAAGAGTCTGCTGCGTCTAAACTCACTCGCAGCTCCCTTCACAATCAAGCCATCTGCCCTGCATGTTTTGAGAGAGGAACTTTCCAAATGCATGCGCTCTTCCTCCACAGTCTGTAAGATGGAGCTTTTTTCTTGCAATAGCTGGGGAGGAATTACATGTCATGCACAACTGCACATAACAAAACACTATTAGGGTAAAGTAGCTTCAGGAGGGAGGCTGGTTCCAGAGAAGAGGCAGGGAGGCACGAGGAGGAAGTGGGTGCTTAACCCTTCTCCCAGCTGTCATTTTTCTGTTGCAGCTTCTCCCTGCCCCCCCCGCCACTATTCCTATGGGCTTCCAGACACATGTTTGCAAGGGTGATCTTGCTTTTGGACCAGTGTGGGGCAGCAGCAGGTCAGGGGAGCTGCATTAGGAAAGTGTCAGGAGGGGGAAGTGCTAAAGACACTCCACCATCCCTGTGCTCCAGTTTGCCTGCCCACCCCTGAAGGTGCTTTGCTCATGAAGTTTTGTTATGCATTATTTGGGGGGAAGGGCAACGTGTATCTCTACCCTTGCAGATGACGTTGGTAAGTTTTGCCATGTGGCCCCAACATACACACTGGAAAAGAATGGAGTAGAAGACAGCTCTAGAAGTGCTCCTATGCAGAGATTAGGGCAAGGGGCTTTGTGAGTCCTATACACGATTGCATGTGGAGGGAGACTCCGCATTAGAGGTAATAAGCAAGTTGGAAGACCTGTGTGAGGAAAAATCTGCATGCCAAGATGTGGAAGCAGCATCCTCCAACCCAAATAAGCAGGTTGCAGTTACTTGAGGTTAATTTAGCAAGCCCAGTCAGGAGGGCCCCGCAAAGATACCCTTGCTGCTGAAGAGCAGCTTCCGTGGAATATGAAAGGATGCATTAGGCACTCAGCTGCAGGTTAGGCACTGTCTGCACACGGATGCTGAAGATACACGAGGCTATGCAGGGCGTAATGGAATAATAGCAGGTGGTGGTTTAGACCGGCTGATGGGATGACAAGCCACACCCCTAGATCATGTCCCACATAAGGCACCTGAAGGAATAACATTTTTTTTGAGCCAAGCCTTTTCTCTTCCTCCTCACCTGGATTTTACTGGCAAGTTTCTCCCCCTCTCCACACCTTGTGCTTTGCCTAGGACTGTGCACCCCACCCATCCCCATGGTGCCTGGGCACCCATCCCTGTGAAATGAATCCCTTCATGGCTTGTGGGGGGGGGAACAATTAGGCTTCTAAAGGAGGTGAGTCACAAGTATGATTCTGTACTTGTGGGTGGGCTCCGTTAGGTATCTCCAAGCTAAGCCGCCTACTTTACTGGCTGTTGCTTTTTGCACACCATGGTACGGGTGCAATTATTTTGCCTGGTATATTCTGTTAGGGATGTTCAGCTGCCAAAGATACTGTTTTACTGCAGAGGTGCGCAGACCTCAGGCTTTCAGGGTCCATTTTGTTTTCCACTAGAACCCACCAGCCAGAGCCAGGTGAATAAGAGTGTCTCATGCAGGTGGCTGAGAATTAATTGGCAGAGGTTGCCTTTGAGCACATGCTCAGTCCAGGAATATTATCAGAACCAGAACCAAGATCACATCTTTTCACACACAAAAATCACCCCTGGTCTCTCGCCAGTGGGGAGTGAGGGGAGGGGGAGCTTTGTTGTTGTTCTTGGATAATTGGGAGTTTTTGCTGATCTACTCCAAATAATACAGAGATCTACCCGTAGAATCCAACCTACTTTCTGCCCACCTATGCTTTACTATAAGTGGTTATCTTCACTGTTAGGTCCCTTCCACACTTCTACGATTCATTCTGTATACCCAGTTGGTCATAAGGGTGGCCCAGGATGCAGCTTTCGTTTGCCTTCTGTCCTGCTGGAGGGAGGGAGGGAGGACCCAACAGTTGGAATGAAAGCCTAGTGTTAACCCTAGCAGATCTTTTTGTCTAGTCTGGAATAACCCTTTGGTTATGCACCAACAGGGTCACTAATGTGGGTTCAGATCCACTCAGTTCACTAGAATGAATGAACAGCATGTGGTGGAAAGCATTTGACCACGTTTTTAGCACTTTAAAACTATGCTGGCTGCTAGTACAGTGAGCTAAAGTGTTAAGAGGGTAACTACTCTACATTTAGTGATCTTAATTATGGGTCTGTAAATGATGGTGGGGAAGTTCTGCCACCCTTTCCTAAACCTCAGATGCTCTTAGAAACATAGGACGGGAGTTGACCTAATTGTCACCTAGTTCATTTCTGCTCTGGGACATGATATTCCATATCAGCAGTGTGCCAAAAACTGTCTATATGTATACATACATACATAGATGTATATATACATACATACATACATACATACATGTATATGAATATGGAAACTTCAAGGCAGCTTATTTAAGCATTTCACACTTTTACAGTTATTAAAATTATTTCTTACATTTAACCTAATTTTCTTCCTTGTACTTTAAGAAAAATTCTTATCTTTCTTGCTGCTGAGGCTGAAATGATCACTTTAGATCATTTTAGACAATACAAAACAGTGAGCCTATTTCCGCTCCTTTGATATTTTCCTCAGGCTTGAAGATACCCCTTTGATTCAGCCTGTCCTAAGTGTGATTTGCATTTTAAACTGTGATTCTATAAACATTTATCTGGAAGTAAGCACCACCAAACACAAGTGAACATGCACAGGATTGCATTGTCAGGCTGCAGTTCAGTGCACATTATGTAGGTGTGAGCTTTGTGTAACCCAGTAGGACTTTTTTAGACTAATAATTTTAGCCTTTGCAGATCAAGGACCCATATGCAGAATAATATGTTTTGCATCTCCACTCATCTCTCTCTCTCTCTCTCTTCAAAAACCCTGAAAAGAATTGTGGTGGCATGACTCACCAGTTAAAGTCAGATCTTAGGCCTTTAATCATTTTTGTAGCTCTCTTCTGACTCCTTTCCATCTTCTTGTCAACACCCTCCTTGAATTGTGATGCTCAGAACTGTTGCCTACATGTGAGAAATGTATTTTTCCTGGCCTCAAAGCCTTGTCCTTTGTGGTTTTCAGAGACTTTCTGAGCTGGAGTTTAACTTTCGTTAGTTGGTAATCTAAAATAAAAGTCCACCATGGAATAATTTCCTCATGTGTGATGCACATTCTGACTTCCATTGCATCTGTTTCCCACCCATTCCTTTTCATTGCACAGAGTGTTTAAATTCTGCATAAACTTGCAGTGGAGCCTGCGATCATATTGTGGGAAGGTGTGAACAAGAGAAATTGCTACCTGAGCATAACTCATGCTTCATACAGCAAAATTACCTATACTTTGGTCAGAATCTTGCTCAGGATGCATTCCCTCCTAAAACTGTCAGTGTGGTTCAGTGAGGTCAAAGGCAGAGTGGAATTAGCTTTGTAACCTCAGCAACTTGACCCTTCCTGACCCAGAACATCCCATAGGGGATTTAAAAGGGTGAGGGGAGGAAATCTCTGTTTACAAAATCCAGTTTGTGGGTACTTTGACTGCAGGCTCATCCCCAATTTTGTTCATTTCCCTTCATCTACCAGCACATTGCCAGAATTGCCTGGTTTCCGAAACCACTCAGCTTTATTCAGAGCTATTCATACATTAGCTGAAGTTGTCCTGTCATAGACAAGTTGGCTGAGGACTAAGAGCCCTGCTTTGTTCTTTCCTAGGGAAGCCCTATATCAGGGGTAGCCAACACAGTGCCCTCCATATGTGGCTGGGCTGCAGCTTCCATTATTGCTTATCCTTGGGTTTGCTAGCTGGGGCCGACAGAAGTTATACTCTATGGTAGTGTCTCATACCAAATGTAATTGAACTGTGAAAAAGACTCTATAAACTGAAAGTAGAGATGCTGTATATACTTTAGCTTGTTTATTTGTTTGTTTTGTAACACAATATAATCTTTAATAAAAAACAATTATTATTTTTTAAAGAAGGGCACCACTTTAGCTGCATCTGCCTTATATCATCTAAATCATGTTGATGGAATTTGTGCTCTGTATGTTCTACGCTGATCTCTGTTTCCTGCCAGTTTTTGGTGAGACTCTCTACTGGTTTTATTCATGTTCTAGCAACACAGTATTTGCTCCGTACAGGGACTAGGTGTCAGCCACGTTATTGCTGATTTAAATTCGCCTCTCTTCACCTGTAGGTTGGGCATTCCAGATAACAGAGTCTCCACCAGCAGGGAGTCATGTCTTTTGCCACGGAGTATATGCAATAGTATTCAATAAATAAATTTAAAGGTGACAGGAAGACTAAAGAGACTGGGTGGGGATGAGCACTTCAAGGATTGGAATGCCACTCACTCAAAGAAAGAATGGAAGAGGCTTGGAGAAAGTTGAGGACTGAGTGGTGTGCTTGGATTCTGTTGTATGTGCACTCTCATGCTGATAGGATAAAAGATATGGGTCATCCTACATATTTCTTTTGGTCTGGATTGGATTGGAAAATGGATTGGCTGAGCCCAGTGTAGACTCCTAATCTTCATTACCCCTGCTGCAAAATGTGAGTAATAACGACCTACCTCACAAAAGTGTTGTGGGTGGACATGGTACCGACTGCAAAGCTGCTGGCAGCAGAAACACTGCAGCACAAGGGAAAACAAAAACAAAACAGCTCCTACTCATTTTACAGCCAATATGAAGAGTTCTGGAAAGGCAGCAGGAACTCCCTTTTCTCTAGCCCAGCCGGGTGTTGAGTAAGATAATGCCTTTCAGTTGTTTGTTCTATGGGCAAGGGCAAAAGCTGTGTTAAGCTATGCGCCTCTATTAATATGTGCATAAAAGAGGCCAAGAGAAGGATGTGTTTTAAAAGTTCTTCCAGCACTGCATCTCATTGGAGATCAGATCTCATGCAGTTGGAGGCTATACAGTGGTACCTCGGGTTACAGATGCTTCAGGTTACAGACGCTTCAGTTTACAGACCCCGCTAACCCAGAAATAGTACCTCGGGTTAAGAACTATGCTTCAGGATGAGAACAGAAATCACATGGTGCTGGTGTGGCAGCAGCCAGTGGTGTAGCGTGGGGGGTGCAGGGGGTGCCGGCCGCACCGGGCGCAACATCGGGGGGGGTGCTCGCACTCGCAGCTCTCTGCCCCTACCTGGCTCACTCACTCTCTCTCACTGCAGTGCTGGCTGTGCGAATCCGATCTGAGCCGCTGGGTCGCCGCCCACTGTGGAGGCGGTGGGTGCCAGGCGTGCGGTGCGGAGAGAGAGCGAGGGACTATCTGGGGGAGGAACAGTGCAGCAGCCGCCTAGCGCAGCGCTGAGCGCGGGAGAGAACCACACCAGACCAGCCCAGGCAGCAGCAAGAAGAAGCTGGCAGCGGCGGCAGGTTAGGGGTTAGGGGGCGCAAATTACTTGCCTTGCCCCGGGTTAGGGGGCGCAAATTACTCGCCTTGCACCGGGTGCTGACAACCCACGCTACGCCGCTGGCAGCAGCAGGAGGCCCCATTAGCTAAAGTGGTACCTCAGGTTAAGAACAGTTTCAGGTTAAGAACAGACATCCAGAACAAATTAAGTTCTTAACCCGAGGTACCACTGTATCTAAATAACCTAGCCAGCCACATTGGTCTTTCCTGTTCTGTCCATGAGAACACTAACTCATGGATAAGTGGCTTCCCCACTGCTGGTAGAATGCGTAAATGGCATTAAGGTTCACAAGAAAAACTTACACTGATGCAGCTTGGATTGTTCAGTTCACACTGGAGTTACCTAGCACAGAAGTATCACCAATAGCTGTTGCCTGCCATAGCTCAATGGTAGAGAATATGCTTTACATGAAGAAGGTTCCAGACTCAATCCTGAACATATCCAGGTTAGGGCTGGGAGAGAAATCCTTGCCTGAAATCCTGGAGACCCACTGCCAGTCAGTGTAGACAGTATTGTGCTAGATGGACCACCAATAGTCTGACTATTGGGAGGTTCCTGTGCATTGCCAGTCCTGTTCAGCCTTGCTGCCTCCCAGAATCCCCAGCCTGGCAGGCTCCCATTAGGGCTTAGTTCTCACTGAGATGTGAACCTGTGTTTGGGCTGTACCACTTCAGACTATAGGTGGAGGTTCACATGACCGAATGCTCTTCCAGAAAAAAAGGGGTATGTGTGATAATAACTGCCCCAAATATGTCTAGATGGCAGGGGAAAAGCTTAGAAGGCTCCTCATTCTTATGATTCCTAGAGGACCCTTAAGGCTTCTACCTCTTAAGGCTTCTCTCTGCCCACCTAAAAAACAAAAAACCCAACAGCAGCTGGGGCTGCTAAAGCCTTTCAAGATATGTAAAAAGGAAACACTCTTCTGAAGATGCAGAACTCTTAGTTGACTGGCTTAACTCCATTAGATGCTCCCCCCAAATGTGTGCTATTACAGAATCTCCCCCCCAAAAAAAAAAATGAGTTGACTGGGGATGAGGAAAGGAATTAGAATGGCATAAGGGGGAAAGAGGACAACTTGTACAGCAAAACCAAATGAAAATGCAGCTGCTTGCTTACACCTGAGTCCCAGTTTCAATTTGCAGAGGTTTCTTTTCAGAGGGGAGGGAGGCTGGGGATCCTATTTAATAATCAAGGTGCCTACTGCAGCATGTATCTGGCCTGAGACAATCCAGAACTGGCAGTTGCTCTTGCTTTTTAAGTCCATATCTTCAAGGCAAATGCCATAACTCTTCCCTTCTAGGTATAGCAGCGTGATCCTTTCATCTCTTGTCTTGGAAATTTCAGCTGACCAAGTCTGTGAGCGTCCCTTTCCTTGCTAGAGGCCAAAGGTGTGCGTTGGCTGCTTTTGAAACACAGGCTCTTTCCAGCAACGTAGCTTCTGGAGAAAACTAGATTCACAACAACCAGTGTCCAGTGGGACTGGCAGGATAGACGGCAGGGAGACTAACAGCAGGTCGAGTCGGAGCCAGTGAGAGGCAGAGCCACCCCATGGCTGGTTGTAAGTATAAGGCAGGCAGGGGGTAGCTGAGGGCAGACTGCAGTTGGTAAGGCAGTGCTCCTTTCACCCATATTGACCAGTCTCCACTGACAATTAGATTGTTTCCTATACAGTGGAACCTTGGAAGCCAAATGCCTTTAAATTCAAACATTTTGGTTCCTGAACCCGGAAGTGATTGTTCCAGTTTTTGAACGATTTTCAGAAGCTGAACGTCTGGCGTGGCTTCTGCAGCTTCTGATTGGCTGCAAGACACTCCTGCAGCCAATCAGAAGCCATGCTTTGGAAGCTGAACGCTTTGGACTTCTGGAACGGATTCCGTTCGACTTCCAAGGTGTGACTGTACTTGTATCCTGCTGGTCCTATAGTGAGCTCAGAGCAATAGTTTAACCCCACAACAACCCTGTGAGGAAGATCTGGCTTGTAGAGAGTGACTTTCCTGGTAAACTTCATCCCTGAGTGGGGAGGCGATTCCAGATTTCTCATGTTCAAACCCAGCACTCTGCTGCATCACACTGGCCCTCTAGAGAAAAACAAAGAATAGTTTTGTAACTGCAAGCAGGCTCTAAATTGCTTCCTGGCTGAGAGGGGCCGGAGTGTTATGGAGTGCTCCTGTTCTCAGCATGGACAGCTTCATTGATTACCGGGGAGGCTGAGTGGTGGCTGTAGTGATGAAGAAACAGAATTATTTGCCTGAGCCATGGGAAGCAGATACCATGGTTTGCTTCAGGATTTTTCTGCATGTACCCATAACTTCTGTGACTCTTCTTCCTGAGGAGCAAGCAAAGAATTTTTTGGGGTTATAACATTTTACTGTGGTGTTTATAGAGATCAGGGTAGAAGGACAGAGGTACACACTGCTCTGAACTTCTGGTATTATGCTGACAGGTGCCATTGGCCATTATGAATGAAACAAATCCCCTTTCTTTGCCTCTTAATGGTGAAAGGACCAGCTCAGTGTATTACCAGGAACAGTGTTGAAGACTGTGCTGGGGCTCTTGCCCCTTTAGTGTCAAGAGCAAACCAGGAAAAATGTATATAAAAGCACAGATGCAGATGTGGTGGCTGTGGAAACTGTGCTTGTTTATTTGAGATGTTGGTGGATGAATTTGGCTAATCTCTCTTCATGTTAAAATACAGTTATTTCTAATCAGTAGAAGCGTTTTGGTGTGGTTTCGCAGCTCACTGTGCAAGGCAAGCCACCCAGGGAGCCTGTTCTTGTTTCTCTCTCTCTCTCTCTGTGTGTGTGTGTGTGTGTGTGTGAGAGAGAGAGAGAGAGAGAGAGAGAGAGAGAAGTTGGAGGAGCTTGTTTAGGTTTGAGGACAGCTCATGATGGTCAACTGTGCCCTGCCATCAGTATTTCTCATTCACTCTCTTTCTTGCAAGGATTCTGCAGGATCAGTGGTATTGGACACAGAATGCAAAGCATAATTCCATCTTAGATGTATTTCCTTGCTGGAATTTCCCCTGCTTTCTCCTAGGAAAAAAAACCTGGTACCTTGTTGGGATGAGTGTAATCTGCTTCTCCTAGCAAAGCCACTAAGCATTTAATCCTACCAGCCAACAGAGCTTCCCCAGTGTCCCAGTTTAAACCACCAGCCTTTTGTGTGTCTGGCAAATTCAAGTTCACTTTCAGAAGTTGACTCTCAACCAGTATTAACTCGATAGTTTCCTTTGCACAGAACATCACTCACTTCTGCAGCAGGCACATTCCTAATAAATGTTAGCTGTGTTCAAGCAATGTGAGTTCCAGTGTTCAACAACATGGGAGCAAGGAGGAGAGCCACAACAAGTAGCCCCATCCCTAGGGTGGCATGTTCCTCTCCTGACATACAGGTGAATGTCTATAGGGAGGGGGGCCTTCACAGGTGTGTGCAAAGGTCCTTTCCCTGCAGACTTTTGTGCTGTACCTGCAGATGTTGGGGGAGGAGCGTGTGACCCTGGAGGTGGGGCTACTTGGTTATATATATATATTATATGTATTATATATGTGTGTGTGTTTGTGTGTGTGTGTGTGTGTGTATATATATATATATATATATATATATATATATATATAAAATATGTATTTGGTTTCACAGTTCACTGTGGGGAAAAATATAATGATTTTTATTAAAGATTTCTTAGTTTACAAAAATATGTGTATTGTCTTATTTCGAGCTGTGTTTTCTACAGATCAGTTTCATTTGTTGTGAGACATTAGTGTTGTATGCAGTATTAGGCTGAGAAGAAAAGAGGGGGAAAGAGGGGGAGGGTGGAGAGGTGAGTGGGGTGGGAATGCTTCATTATTCTATTTAGGGGGGGGTTGTGTCAGTGTCACTTGTGTGGTCCATTATTGTTGAACACTGGAACTCATGAACACCCAAATACTGTAGGACTTTTGTTACATTTTTGTGACTCTGTTATGAGGAGAGGATAGTGGAAACACAGCAGTATTTTAATCGTGGAAAATTTCAGTGAGGCCTGTATGACGCAAATACTTGAACTCTTGGGCAGTATTAGTATTTGTTGCTGAGTGTTTGTAAGGGACAGTTTCTGAAGCTCAGGCGGGTTGGGAAACGTTATCTGCCACCACCACTGAAGCCAGTGGGGAACAGCAGCAACTGCAGCACCATGATTAGAACCTGCTAAATGTTTCTTCCAGCTTGGAACCAGCCACCTCAGGCTCAGGAAACAAGTGGAGGAAGATGGAAGAATTACCTATTCAGTAGGGAGCTATCTGTTTAACTAGGCAGAGTCCCAATAGGGACTGTAAGCCAGGCTGGATTGAACTGCACCCCCCCTGGGGAAGGAACTGGCAGGAGAAACTCTATTCCTGATGCATTCAATATGCCCCCCCCACGGAATCCAGATGCTGGAGCTAATGGAAAGGGTGGGGCAGTGCGCATGTCTGAGCCACTGTGCATGCAAGTTAGTTAAGAGTGAGCATCTCTGTATTTGTGCAAATACAGGCACGCGTGTATACCAAATACGTTTGCACACTTGGAATTCTGCAGTTGATATATTTGTTGTTTGTGTATCTCTGGTTTGCTTGCATTTGTGCACATTTGGGCTTTTAGGAATGGGCAGGCCTTTCTCCATAGAATGCATATTGATGCCTTGGAAAAACAGTAATCAGCAGCTTCATCTTGAGATGCCAAATCTAAGGCACTCTTCATATAAAGACACACACAGAGCGTTTTCCTCCTTTACAAACCTGGGAAATAAATTTGCTTTGTGCAAGTCCTGAGGGGGGCTCAGATAATCCATGGTTATCACCGACCCATTCCTCCTGAATTCTAGGTTAAAAAAAAAGATTTGTGTCGCTGAGTGGGGGAAATGCTCCCTTCCTCAGCCAGCTGCAAAAAGAGCCCTGCAGATCCTTCTTATTGCCCAGCAACTGAAGGAAACCACAAGTCATGCATGCAGGTGCCCGATAAGCCTGCCTTCTGCAGAACAACTCTTGGGAGTGGGTGGGGCTGACTTTGCTGCTGCCTGTCCTCCTTTGCCTAAGTTGCTATGTACAGTTCCATATGCTGAAGCCATGCTTAGGAAAGGGGCCCTACCAGATTTCCTACCCAAACGCCAACATATAGCAGCCAAGGCTCCCAGTGATGCCCAAATCCCCACGTAATCTTTGCTATTTTTGCTGGGGGTTGGTCTATTGATATCATAGGCTGCCATGATGTTTCTGCCAATGTCTCAACATGCTTACTTCCATACTTTAAAAAGAAAGTGAAAGCAACCTGTTGTTACTAGTAAGTGAGCATTTCTCTCACCAACACACAGACGTGTGTGTACACCATTGCCAATTGTATAATCAGGTAGTGCTTTGTAGCTAACTTGCATCTGATTGATGTGGGCATGTCATGCTAGTGCAACTGTAATTTCTTCACAAGAGCAAGACAATTGATCCTCTGCCTTGTGTAGTAACAATATTTCACATTCAGGAAACAGTTTCCTTGTATGTTGAATCTTGTAATCTTGTACCTCGGGTTACAGACGCTTCAGGTTACAGACTCCGCTAACCCAAAAATAGTACCTTGGGTTAAGAACTTTGCTTCAGGATGAGAACAGAAAGCGTGCGGCGGCAGAACAGCAGCAACGGGAGGCCCCATTAGCTAAAGTGGTACCTCAGGTTAAGAATGGTTTCAGGTTAAGAATGGACCTCCAGAACGAATTAAGTTCTTAACCCAAGGTACCACTGTATATGCTTCTAAAGTGTAGCCTTCCACCACTGGTGCTGTTAATGTTCAAAATCTTAAGTCAACCACTAAAAGCCATGAGAATGAGTTCAGAAATTCTAAACGCACATGGATATCTTTTTTAAAAAACAGTATTTAATTACCAGTTCCTGACCCTTTGATGCATTCTTCCATCACATTTTCAGCCTTTTCGTCTAGGGATGAAAGAGGTGATTAATCAATTTAAAATGTTACTTTTATTTTTTTAAAAAAATCAGGTTTTAATCACTATGGGGAGGATGTTGGAAAAAGTAATTTCTGTACACTTCTTGACTCCACTTAAGTCAGTGAAGATAATTTCCTCAAGAAGGAGTGATCTGCCTGTTTTTGTTAGCAAGCAAAAACTGATCTTGATTAAATATCCTCAACATATCCTCCAATATGGCTAATTGAAAGAAACATACAATAAATGCTTCAAGCAGTTGGAGACTCTGTTTTCTTCAAATTCACAAGAATTCCTTAGTTTAACTATGTGCTCCCAGAAGATATAGTGATGGTGGCTAACTTGGATGGCTCTAAAGAAGTTTGGCCAAATTCATGGAGAATACGACTGTCAATGGCTAGTAGCCATGATGGCTATCTTGTCGCCCCACTGTTGAGGCAGTATGCCTCTTAAGTACCCATTGTGGGGTTTCACATGGGAAGAGTTCTCTGCGCTCAGGTCCTGCCTGTGCAGGCATCTGGTTGGCTACTGTGAGAACAAAATGCCTGATGCAGCAGAGTTACACTAGGAAAAGGTTAAGAACAACAATTTGTTCATTTCCCCCTTCCAAGTTCATTGACTTCCATTTTGCTCCAAAAGATGTCCCAAGCTTTACCCAAAGCCATGCAAATGTCTCCAGATACATGGTTATTCTGGGGAACCAACTTGCTTCAGTAACTGATTAGTTTACATGCATAAAGGATGAACCTTGAATGTGAAGTGAGCTGAAAGTCTAGGCATGGTCGCTCTTTCCTTTCTAGCACAACAATTCAAATAAGATAAAGGTTGTTATCTGTGGTGGGTGGAGTCCACAGTTTCCTAGAGAAGCACAATAAATTGTAAATGGCTGAAGAGATTCAACCAGGGGTGTGTTTGCTTGGCTGGTTGCTCTAAGAATCCCCCTGCCCAAAAAGCATCCACTTCTCAGAGTTGTGCAAGGCTGTTGGTTACAAACAACTCCCCAGATAACAAGCTTGAGATGGAAGAGTATACAGTATTTGGCAAACTCTGATAAGCAACTCAGCTCCTGTAAAGCATGTGGGAAGGGGTGTGCCATGCTTTGGGGTCTGTAGAGTTGCATGGGGTCAGGATTGGGACAGCTGTAGGCTATGTGGCTTGTGAGTAAGAGCACTTTTTTGTTCTGAAGGGGGTAATGATACATTACTGTGGTGCATTTCCCCCTTCTATTTATTCCAAACATGCTACTCCTCCTCTCCTTCTCAGCCCTTTCTCCTGGCTTGTTTATGTGTCCCTTGTTAACAAGAGACTCTGATGGACGGTTGTCATCTCCTTGGCATTTTGTTTGCCACTAGAACTCACATACAGGTGAGAAGTGCCAGAGTATTAGTGGGCCTGTCTGTGGCTTTCTCTCTTTTGCTGTTTGACAGCAGGGTGGTTTGAAGAGCTGTGGAGCAGCTGGCCTGTGCTCTTTCTGTCCCTTCCCTAGCAGGAAGAGAATCACCGCTGCATGGAATTGGCATGCACAGATGTAACATGAAACCAGAAGGTTAGGGTAATGCAGAAGTTATTGGTCTGCCAGAAGCCACTTAAGTGGAACTCTGCTTGAGAGTTGTGAGCTGCATAGTACTAGGTGTGTGGTAAAGGTAAAGGGACCCCTGACCATTAGGTCAGTCGCAAACAACTCTGGGGGTGCGGCGCTCATCTCACATTATTGGCCAAGGGAGCCAGCGTACAGCTTCTGGGTCATGTGGCCAGCATGACTAAGCCGCTTCTGGCGAACCAGAGCAGTGCACGGAAACGCCATTTACCTTCCCGCCAGAGCGGTACCTATTTATCTACTTGCACTTTGACGTGCTTTTGAACTGCTAGGTTGGCAGAAGCTGGGTGTGTGGTAGTTTCCAGCAAAAGGTTTTGCTAGTACAGACATCTTTCTGTAGGGTTTTGGTTAGCAAGTAGATTGGCTTGCCAGCTCATCTGGACCTCAAAACTAGAGTGATCGCTACTTCCCTATAGGGATAGCTGCTCCCCCTTAAGAGGGCACCAATCCCATGGGAACCACAAGAGCACTTTGGGTGCTACAGGCCTTCTTTCTAGCTATCCACTAGAGCAGCCTTCCCTATTTTGGTGGCCTCCAGATGTTGTTAGACTCTAGTTTTCATCACCTCCAGCCAGCGTGGCTAATGGTCAAGAATGATGGGAGTTGTAGTTTAAAATGTCTTGAGGGCACCAAGTTGGAGAAAGTTGCACTAGGGCATTTTTATGAAGCATTTTCTTCCCTCTGCATGCTGTATGGCTGTTTGTTATGGTGATTTCTCCAATTCCACCAACCCTGTCCACTAGGCTTGATATCACTGAGCAGCCAGAGGGCAAGGCTGTGTGCACCCTACACAGTTAAAGCACTTTCAAAGCACCTTCTTTCCCTCAAAATAATTTTGGGCACTGTAGCCTGTTAAGGGTTGTTGGGAATCATAACTCTGTGAGGGGTAAACTACAGTGCCTAGAATTCTGTGAGGGAAAGAATGTGCTTTCTCCAGTGTCCTTTAATGTGCTTCAAATGTCCAAGTAAGAGTGAACTAGTGGAAGTTTCGTTGATCAGTGGGCCAGGTGGAAGTTTTCCTCAACTGGGCAACAAATCCAGTTGCTGAAAATTTATATAAGTAGCTCTCATAGGAAAAATATTTTCTACAATCAAGCGGCACATATATATTTTATGAAATAACAATTAATAAATAAAAATTGTACCCATTGTTTACTCAGAAGTAAGTTTCAATGAGTTCAATGGGGCTTACTCTGCAGTGGGTGACTATAGCAATGCAGGCTCAGGAAGTCAATTTAGGGAGCAGTATGGTTGTAGAGAGACACTTGAAAACTCGTCTCAGAGAATCACATAGTAACACTTGCTTCTTTTTCAATGCCAGCTTCATGTTCAAAACCAGCACCACCCAGTGAAAACCAAAGGCTCTAGGCCAGGCCACCGAGAAGTGCCCCTTTAAGTGGCATTTTTTTTTAAAGGGAGAAATTAGTAAACTGTACCAGTGTTCTGCTATGAAAATAATGGGCCATAGGCCAAGTCCTTGTTAGCTTGTTTGATAATCCCTTCGCTGGTCAAAATGACCTCAATCTCAATTGTCAGAAAAAACCCCCAACAACAAATCAGGCACAGAGCCAACAAAAAAAATATTGACTGCTCACAATCTTTTGTTGGGATCACCTAAATGGAGCTTATGGTCCAGTTTGAGAATCTCTGGTCTAATAGCTTAATGCAGGAATCAGTGACAGTTACAAGCTCTGTCGAAATGTTTTCAAAGTTGCAATCAGAGCAACTTTAAAATAATTTCCCTTCTGTCTCAATGACTGGTTCAGAGACACCTGATGTCTCTTCCAGTGATCTTCCAGGGGCATTGCAGGGCCATCAAACAAATTAAGGCATGCTGTCCGCCTTTTATTCAGGTCAATGTGCATTACATTATCATACAATGCAAGCACAAGAATTGGTGTTGGGGTCAAACTTCAGCATCCTGAGAATGTCACCTTCTTTTAAGTTTCTAGGCTGCAAAACAAGAAAGACTTGAAAATGCCCTGAACATCATATGAAATCTCAGAAGCCAGAGGGGGAGGAAGACAGGAATTTCAGTAGACAAGCAGAACAGATTTAGCACCTGGCATAGCTCTTTGTTCCTCCCTATGGCTAACAGAAAAGGAGTAGATTATGCAAAAAATAATAATAAATCAAATTGATATTGCATGATTTTATACAGGCCACTTCATTCGGTTTCCTTGGTCAAAAACAATGATTTATTTATCTCTAGACAGACACAGTCTCTTGATTATATTGAGCTACCAACAAACAACAGAAGACATCAAATTATTCCAGGTTGCTATATGCTAAAGGTGCCTGCAGGGCAATGAAAAAGTTGGTAAAACTAGCTTTGTTGTTCAGAATACTGTCATGCCAGGAATCTATGTAAAATCGGGTAAGTTTTTGTAACCTAATAGAATCCAGCTGGAGCAAAAACTGCCCGTAGCTGTGAACCCCGCTTGAGGCCCTGCTACACATGAAGTAGCCACATGTTCCTGTATAGCACAGGAGATAAGCTGAGTGGCACCCGTAGCAGAAGCATACCTGGGTACTGGGAACATAGCATAGAAGCTGCCTTGCTGGGGGCAGCTCTTTGGAAACCTCATTGATCAGTGGCAACAAAAGAAATGAGATCAAATGACAGTGGACTCTTTGCCTGTGGAACTAGGACTAGAGAGAGAAGATGAAGGACTCTGTTTAGCAGGCCCTGAAGGAAGCACTTAACTGCCTGAAACAACAGGAAACACCTGCTCAGCTGTGGCCTTTGCAAGGTGCAGATGTCCCCCCTCTCCTCCGGTGACTTCGCATGCCAACAAGTCCTGGGGTAGACAGCCTGCCTCTCAGATGAGGGCCCTTCCCCACGTCACACACACACACAGCCCCAGGATTTGTTGGTGAGCAATTGTTTTGGTGCTTTCTCTGGAGTTAACCAGTGTCCCTTCAAGCCCCTCAGGGTCCTACACATAGGATCTGGAAATCTGACCCAACCTGCACCCTCCATATTCCCTAAGGCGTTCTAACCATCTTGGCTATCCAATCTTGGCAAAGCCCCAGCGAAAAGGACTTAAGTTTCTGAGCAGCTGTGTCTCTCTTCTAACAAGGGGAAGTGCTCCTCGTCGGAGAGCGGCATCCGTTGCCACGTGGTTGGATCAATGGCCGTAAAGCTGTGTCTGTGTGATTTATATCTCCCAGAGCACCAGTGCTAGCTGCACAGAGTACAGTAAAACGGGGCTGGTGAACTGTGGCACATGAAAAGACTGGAGAGAGAACTGCAGGAGTTGAGAGAGAGAGAGAGAGAGAGAGAGAGAGAGAGAGAGAGAGGTTCTTGTGCTGCTGGACTCCTATGTATAAAAGGTGGAGGGGATCTTCTTCTTCTTCTTCTTCTTCTTCTTCTTCTTCCTCTTCCTCTTCCTCTTCCTGTTAAAATATGTATAGTTCCCTTCATCCAAAGATCACAGGGTGGTTCACAACATTAAAATACAAAATGAGAACACAAAATACACAATACCTCCCACTGGAGACCGAATAGGACTTCCGCCAACCACATCCCAGTCCTGCTTCAGCATCCATCCAATGCCTCTTTAATTATTAACTTGACCAGAACCAGAACCAGCTGGAGCTGCTGCATCTTTGTGGACCTGCTCCAAAGAGGGATCGCTGAAGGTGAGGATGCGCTGCAAGGCTGCTGTAGCGTAAGGATGCCCTAAGTGAGCAGACGGGAGAATAAAATGCACACACAGGGCATGTTTTCTTTCCGCCTACCCAAAGGTTGCTAAAGATGTGTTCCTACTAGAGGATGTGTTCCTGCGACATGGACTGATGCTGCTAAAAAATGATACTGCTGACTCCCACGCCTACCAGTCTGCAGGACTTAGTGGTTTTCACCCAACCCAAATACATGTGGGAAAATTAGCCCCCCAGTTTCTGGATTTTGATACACCCCAAGAGGCGCAGGTATAATATGCACCCTCTCCATGCCTAGCTAACCTGAATCACAGAACTTCTAGCTTTGTTGGGAAGCTTGTTTCTCTCATTTCCTAAGCCCATTATAATATGTATATTGACATTCCTTATCACTGCAGTGTTGATGGTGGTTCAGTTGTGTGATGTGTGAATCTGAGATGTCAGGTGGGACAGAAGTCTACAATGTGTGAATGCCTGAAAGAAGTGTACTCCACTGGATTAATAGATCTAGTACTTTGATCTGGAAGATCTTGATGTATATTCAACTGCTGCTAAAGATTACTTATATAGTTCTGAGAGAAAAATGTTCAGCACCAATCCCACCACACCTGTAGAACAGGAATCCTGATAACTTTTCTCTCACAGCATTGTGGTGAGATTAAATACAATAAAGGCTGTAAAGCACTTAGGAAATCAAGAATGTTATAGTAGGCAGTATTTTTGTTCTTATAGTAGTATTAGAGGCACCCTCGTTACTTTCAGTGTCTTCCTGTTCTAGCAAGACATAATATGACAGATGAAAGAAATGAGTGTTCTGGATTCTTTAGTTGAGATTCCTGCATTGCAGGGGGTTGGACTAGATTACTCTCAGGGTCCCTTCCAATTCTACAACTCTATGACACTATGAAAAGGATTTAAAACAGTGTTGGCGCTTAGAGTTGCTTTGCTATGCTTCCCAGTGTAGCACAAATACAGGTGTGAAGAGGAGGTGGAAGGGGATAAGCTATTTTGCTGTACCTCCAAAATATCAGATTTATATGATTGTTACAGCAAGGGATTGGGTCTCCCTTTCTAGGAAGCCTTGAACTTGCATCAGCCACAGGTTAGAAAGCTCACAAATATGTGTGCATTTGGATATGCTGTGGCTCCATTTCCCAAGCTCATGCAGCTTTGGGTCCTGAAGAAGTGTTTCCTTGCCACTGTGGATTGTTAGGATGGTACCTGTTAATGCCAGGAGAGGGAAATGATTAAAAATAATAATATTTTACAAGGGTTATTATTATTTTTTAAAAATCAGACTCTGGAGTTATCAGGAAAATAGCTTCATAACCAGCCTTTCAGGTTCCATGTGACCATTCAGTGTTTTATCACATGGTATGGTACCCTGAATTTTGGAAAAGACTCAACCCTTTGCTGCAGTAGTGAACATATAGCAGCACCATCCTTTCCCAGACACCATCACTACAGCAATAGTAACTGGGCACATCAAATAACAGATCCACCATGGTGCTTCTGCTGAGAGGAGCAGTATCTCATGAAGGTGCTATTCTGTGACTCATCCTGTTTTGTCTGCCGTTCCTTGCAAAACCCAAGTTTATTAGAGGACTGCTTGGTAGCATTTTAAATCAGAGCCAGAAACTGTCCCTTGCACCTAGGGCTAGAACCCTAGGCTATGCTGCTTTTTTATGGCATTGAAGCAGCCAAGAGGAGAAATTCTATTGCTGCCTTTGCTTATTAGGCTAGAAACTCTGTGATCCACTTGGGAGACTGAGCATAGATCTGAGAACGTAGTAGTAGTAGCAGCTCTTTTTTTTAAATACTGGTTTGCTTACCTTGATCATTTCCCTGTCTGCTCTTCTGTTGAGCTCAAATGGGTGAAACACCTTCACTACAGTTGTCTGGAACCACCCAGAAGTGTTCGCCTAACATTTTAATGTTTACCATTTCACTAGAACTGAAGGGGCAACACAGTGAAATTAAAACTAAAATCTAGTTTTTGTTTTTTAAGTTCTTTACCACAGCATGCATCATTGATCCTTGAAACATGCTACCATAAGATCATGGTGATAGCCAATAGTTTAACTAACTTCAAAAGGTGTAGAATTTCTTCCTAGACATAATCCTTTCCATAGCCATTAACTAAAATGGTTCAGACATCTTATTTCTTTATAGAAATATTTTTAAATGAAATAGCAGTATAATAAATATCAAAGCAGTTTGCAACAACAACAAAAAAGAGTAAAACCACACAGTAAAAAACCATCTAAAAAAGTTAAACACAGACTTCAATTAACCATTGTAGATGTGTTCTTCATTTCCTTCACAGGGCTGGTGGAATAGAAAAGTTTTCAGCAGGCGTTTAAAAGTTGAAGCTGAAGGCGCCTGCTGAATCTCTGTTGGCAGAATATTCCACAGGCCTGGGCTGATGACTCTAAAGGCTCCATTTCTTGTTATCAAGTGAGCCTGGCCAACTTGGGGAATGATCTACAACATTCCTGAAGATTATTTTAGTTCTTGCAGATTATTTTAGTTAGTGATCAAAATGGGATATAAGGGTTCGGGTGATCCCTGAGGTACCCTGGACCCAAGTTGTTTAGGATTGAGAGTGAAATAACTGAAAAGTGAATGGCAAAGGCTGGAGTTATATGCTGATTCACTGCAGTGTTTCAGGCTTCCTCTGGTACATCTGGAGCTGGTTCTTGTCAGAGAGGGGATCCTGTGCTAGATGTACTAACCACATAAGACTGATCCTTTGTTTTTATGTAGCGGAGACTCACATCTCCTTGCTAGACCCTCACTAGAACCAACTCTGATTCTCAGGAAATTTGTGACCTGAATTCTGTAGCTTAGAGTCTGGTAATTAGAACCATTCCTATCGTTAGGCTGTTCCCGAAAGCAGAGCTTTGGTTTGTCCCAGTGGCAGTTTGACACACAGCACTTTAGCTACGTTTTGTGTGTGTGTATGATTTCATATTTCAGCACATAATCCAAGCCCCGACTCCTTTTATGAAAAAGAAAACAGATGTGTAGCCTTTCAGCTGCAGTTGCAATTGCACGTTACCCAGAGTTCTGCAGAATGAAGCATTCTTCCATTATTTTCTTACTTGCTCAGATGAGTAGCAGGCATTTAAAATGCTGTATTTATTGACTTCTGATTTTAGCATCTGATGACAATCCTGGTTCAGGCTGCCAGTACATTTAGGCTTGTGCTGCTAAAGCAAGCCATCAGTTAAGTGGAAGGCACACATTCCATATTTTGAGGGTTTGTTCTATCACAGTCAAACCTAGAACCCGGTAACTTTAAAAAAGTTTATTGTGCTAGAACAGTTGTATAGCTGCAGCTGTATATGTGTGCACATTTGCACAACCAGGCATATACTCCCCCCCCCCCAATTATTTTCCAATGCTCAATTGAAGGAAGCACCTAATTTTATGCCTTGAATCTTACTGGCTTTTCTACATGGTGTATATCTCAAACTTACTCTTCATTGCAGGAGAATTAAATATACCAACCAACACCAGCCAATCTGAGTGGCTAAAAAGGCTTGCTCTAAAATGAAATGATACATACTTGGGGTTTAGTTTCCAAGTTGAAACAATAATGTGTTGTTATTACTTTTTTCAGGAAAAAATGCAATTAAAAGTTCTGAAGGAAAAAGTGTCTTTTGCCAGCTCTGTCCATCAGTTCTCATTTGCAAAAGCTGCCATGTGTCCTTATTTTGGGATGTTACATTCTACAGAACATATATTGCCCATAGAACAGGTGTTGAAAACTCACTTTTGTCCATCGTTTCTGGCTAGCACTGGATTTCATGCTTCCCTGCTTAGTAACATTTAGGGTTTGAAAGACATCTTGTCTGTACCTGCAAGGTTCCTATATCCCAGGGCAGCTCTGAAGGGGACACAGTGGCATTAGACCTAATGAGTTGGAACTTGTAGCTCTCCAGCTGTTGTGGGATTATGGGAGTTGTAGTCCAGTGATGTCTGGAAGACACAGGTTCCCTACCCCTGCTTTAGTTCAATACTATCTCACATAAAGACCAATGCTATAGATTCACTCTGTTTCTAAAATTAGAAATGTGAAGGCTCAAACGTGCTTGCAGGTCACTATCCTGCGCTAGAAACCTTCCACTGAATTCTAAATGTGCTCATAATATTTGTAGTTATTCATCAGGCGGCCAGTATAGGTACTCTTATTTATGATTACATGACATGTTCAAGGCTGAGCCCTAGGCTAAGGTTGCATCCTTTTCTCCTGACAGTGGTTCTGTGCTATTGACAGCTGGAGGACATGCAGTGATGCAAAAGGAATGGCTTTTGCCATTCCCAGCAACCAAACTGTGAAGCTGTTGGCTCCTCTGTTGGATGGGGGGAACTGACAATCTGAGCCCTAGGTTCCATGGCTGTCCTTGGTGAGCCACAGCACAAGTTTAGTTCTACTGGTTTTAGCCATTGCTCATAACAACTTGACACAAATTCAGCCCTGCTGCAAGGGAAGACATAACTGTTTTTGGCTACATTTAGAAGAGACCCCATATCACAAAAAGGCACCACATCCTGGGAATTGCAGTGAAGGCTTTGGACTGCACAGCCCTAGGATGTCTCAACCCAGTTGCCCTAATTACACTGAGATATAAACATTTTGCATCTGGCATTGCAGAAATTTAGGCTTTTGGTCTACTCTAAATCAAACCCTCCAAGCTAGCAGGAACTGGAGTAGTTAAATGCCCATCTCCTCACATGCAGTTCCGCCAGTAATTATTTTCGTGGTTGTTTGTGGGTAACAAAATATCAGTTTCAGCTGGATTCTATGCATGTTTAATTTACTTGGAAGTAACTCCTACTAAATGCAAAGGGTTTTTGCTTCTTAGGTGCGTCCTTGCAACAAACTAGCCAGTAGGAAAAAGCACTTCAAGCTATTTCAGCACGCACCCCCAACCCTTTCATTGAATTAAAGCGATTTGGGCACAAGACTTGCGTAGATGGAAGAAACGAGTGAAACCTCCCAACGTGGCGAAGTTTCCTTCCTATATTTGCAAGACCTGGAATAAGGCAGGCTTTGAAGCTCTCCATCCCGCTTAGATGAGGGTGGGGGGAATTGGCCTTTTTTGTTTTTTCGTTTTTGCTGTAGAGCCAGAGAGTTACTTCCATGGTGGGAGAAGACCTGGTACTTCCCAGCCTGCTTTACTTAGAGTGGGGAGCTTTTTCACCCACCCCTCTTCTTCTTCACCATCATCATCTTTAAGGGCGGGTGGCATCACCTCCCACCGCAGCTTTCTCTCCTCTGGTCTTTCCGGCTGCCTAGCGTCCCCTTCCCTCCCTGGGATTTACCTCTTTCTGTCTGGGTCTGTCTCTCCCTTTTGTTTTTCTCAGCCTAGGCATGGCAGATCCCTCCCTCTTTCATGCGATCAGAGCAGCCCCTGGAGCGGGGGAGAGAGGAGTGGGAGTGGGGAGGGAAGGCCTCCTCCTCCTCCTCCTCCTCCTCGGAGAGGAGCTTCTGGGCCTCTTTCTGAAAGGCACAGGGAGGTGTGTGTGTGCGCGCGTGTACGCGAGAGCGAGCGTGTGTGCAAGAGCCGAGCCTCCTCCATGCCCCAACAGAGGGCCTGAGACAGCAGCAGGAGCAGCCATTGTTCAGGGAAAACCTGGCAGACAAAGGACGGGCTTCCTCCTTTTCACCGAAGCCTTCCTGTTTCCTTCGGCGGCCGCTCGCTCCGCTAGGCCTCTCGGCAGCTGCCGCCGCGCTCCGCTCCCGCCTGGTCCAGTTGCAACGCGGCTCCTGGCCTTTTTCTCAATTATTCTTTCCATTTTGAACTTTCTCTCTCCTCTCCCCATGGCTGGCTGGGAGTAAAGCACCCTCGGGCAGCAGGGATGTTCTGAGTTCCCGTCTTGCCGCCGTCTCCCACTTCTCCCCCCACCCCACCGTCCCGCCCCTCGCCCGCAACAGCGACACTCCGCCACTTCTCCCCAGGTAAGGCTCGGAGCTCGCCGCTCGCGCTCGAGGCCGTCCCGGGTGCCTGGGAAAGGTCCGGGGTGTGTGTGTGTGGAGGAGCCGGCGGCGGCGGGGGGCGGTTCAATGGCTTCTTCCCAGCCACGGCTCTTGCATGGATGCGGCGCGGCGAAGGGCTTCCTCCATCCGAGCATGTCTGCGCTCCCAGAGCCATGTGAGGATTGGGAAGGAGCTGTGCTGGGCAGGAAAGGCAGAGGGATTGAAGACACTCCGGCTTGCATTTTGGGTGGGTGGGAGGATCTCCCAGCGAGGGGGTCTTCTTGTTCCCAGCCTGTTTTTCCCCCTTTCTTCTGGATTCCTCTCTCTCAGCCCCCCCTCCCACCCACGGTGTCTTCAGGCAGTGACACTAGGCCTTACTCTCCTCGGAACAGAGTTGCAAGCTGGGCCTTAAGTAAGAGGGGGTGTGGGAAGGGAAAGGAACTGAGGGGGTCGATTTGGGGATGGGGGCTTCCTGGGTCTGTGGGCTTTTCTTAGGAGCAGCAGCAGCAGCAAAGATCATAAAGTTTCCTTCAAGGTGTGTGTGTATGTTTGGTCAGTGGGCGAGGGAGGCCGCCAAGACACTAGTGAGACCAGAATTCTCCTCTAGTGGAGTTTGCAACTCCCAAGTCTGCTGTTTTCAAAACAGGGGAATGGCAGAATCTCAGAGTGTTAGGAAGAAATTGTGGGATTGGGTGGTGTGGTTTTTTTGAGGGGGGGGATAGGTCCCTGGAGATAAGCAGCACTAGGGGTCGCAGTGTGCATGATGGGGTCGTTTAATTTTTCTTTGCCGGAGGCTGTTCTCCTGCTGTCACTCTGCAGCAGCCTTCCCTGGCCTCAGACCCTTTCCTTCTGTCTTGCTTCAGCTTCTTTCTGTAAACCAGAATAGCTTGTGTTTGGCTGAGAGCTCTTTCCCCTGGAAAACCAGTTATAAGTTTTTCCAGTTTCCAGGCTGCTCAGCGAGGCTAGAGCTGGACAGGGTGGTGGAGGAGTGGCCTTTGCATATCCAGTAGGTCGGTGCTGGAGTTGGGATTCTGTCAGGGTGGAAGCTCTCTTAACCAAGCCTTCCCCTGTTTTATGCATTTCTTAAGTTTCAAACAAATATTCGGACATGGGATAGGACCGTAGTTCCTGGGGGAAATGTGGGAAGTATTTTCAATTAACCTGTCATATTCTGTGATTCTTCTTAGTATTCACATGCTTTGTAGCTCTATCAAACCCTGTCCAGGGGGCAAAATTTACATTGTCCACAATGTCTTCAACTTGGAAGAGCCGGCGACTTGTACCCATATGAGTTTATTTACTGTGGTCCTTCCCTAGTGGAGAGCACATTTGTCTTGGGATCATTAGACACACTGGCTAATTCTAATCTAGACCCTAGCTGCTGGTTGACTCAGAGCAGGGTAAAGAGGGGGGGATATGTTGAGCTCATGAAAGAGAATTCTCACCTGCACTAGGCTTAAATGAAGCCTTCTACAACCTAGTGCCCTCCAGAAGTTTTGGACTGCTAACCTCAACCCCAGCCAGCATAGTCAATGGTCAGGGAGAAGGGGAGAGGTAGTCCATCTGCAATAATTGGAGGGCACCAGGTCGGGAACAGCTGTTTTAGTGTTTCTTGGGACTGTGTACTGAAATTAGAACACGTTCAGTTCTTTACAGACTCTTGCCTCAAAGAGGCCCTGCATACCAGACACTAACACTGTTAGTGTAGACAACTCTACAGAACTTGAATTTCCAGTTTAGTATCTCCCTTTGGTTTCTTGCAAGTCCTCAGAACAGGGAGAAGGATTTGTTAAAATCTCAGCTAAAGGTTTGACAGACTACCTTGTGGCACCTTAAAGACTAAGCACATTTATGACAGCATACATTTTTGTGGACCAAACTCTTGTCTATATGAAAGTTTGTGTCATAATAAATTGGTTAGTCTTTAAGGTGCCTCAAGACTTTACATTTTTGCTTGAACAGATTAACAAGGATATTGTATTCACTTTAGGTTTTGTTATTTAGGTGCTTGGTCTCCAGACTTTGGGAAGTGTGTGTGTGTGTGTGTGTGTGTGTGTGTTATTTGACAGCAAATCATAAAAATCTTTGGACCTCTGTTGTGTGTTGACAATGTCAGTATTCACTGTGGAAAGATAGATAAGGGATGAGATGCAGTTTCTCTAGAAGATTTGGTGAATAGAGGCTGCAATCAAGAGCTGCTCAAGGGGCACCATCTGTCCTCCAAGGTTTAAGTTTCCCCATCTGGGTAGTTATTCTGAACATGGGATGACTAAAGCAGTGCTGGAAAGCAACAACCTCTCCATGACAGACTGGCCACATGCAGTGTAAAGCACAGTATTGTGCTTCATCTGCACTGAGCCCAGTAGGGAGTACAAACAGGTCAGTAAGAATCATTTAAGGAAGCTGAGGAAAGCAAATAATAGGTCAACAGCCAACTTATTAATCTCCTTAGTTCTTTGTTATAAACAAGCCGTTTCTATCTTTTCTGCATATTTGCAGGGCAATTGTTGTGAGTTTATTTGGAGGAGTATGCTGGTAAAATGTTTACGTTTATATTTCCAAAGGAGATGTCTGATACTTTGGTGTCTCTCCTTTTCTGGAAGCATCAATGAAGGAGCTGAAGAGGTCTCCCCACAATGGATAATCTCTTGTTGCTGGGAAGTTTTGAATGCACAGGGATCTGTGTTTGAGTTTTGTGTCTCACTTGGAACAGTGCAGAATCATAAAGCACTCTAAAGATTAAAAATGTAACTGTGACTCTCACAACAGTGCTATCACACTTTAGGTATGTGGCTTGTGTTTTCGAAGGATTGTCAGAGAACACCTTCCTGCTCAGGAATCCCATGAACATTTTCCATTTCACCCATCAAATATACCCAAGTTGAGCATATACTATACATGTGACGAAATACTCCTGTCTGTATTACTATGTTTTTGTGTCACCTTATGCAGTAGTTCACCCCCCCTCCAACTTTTCAAATCCAAGCAGTTGAAGAGCTCCTGTCAATTACAGACTATGCCCATCATCTTTGTCTTATTGTCTGTGGTCAGTTCCAGATTGCTTCTGGGTCTCCTGTTGTAGAAAGAGATCTAGTGGGCATGCTGCTTCTCCGTGTTGCTCTATCCAGTTGTCATGTAAAGTAGAGGGTTCTCTAGCTGTTGAGTAGCACCATAGATTTTCCAGTAGGAATTTATTTGCGCAAGGGGAGCTTCCTTTCTTTTTTACAAGATTGTAGGAGAACCTGGATTTCAAACTATTGTTTAGAGCAGGCTATGTTGTAGTATGATTGGGGCCTGCTGGCTAAACATCACAGCCTGGATCTGCACAGGAAAACCTGCTGATTCCACTATCTCCCTCAACAAAGCTCAGTGTTGCAAAACAAAACCATTAGTGATTAGGTGAGGGATTATCAGTTCCCCAAAGCTGTATCTTCTTAGCTCTGTCACACCATCTCTCGAACATGCTCAGTACTGATTCAGATCTATTCTGTAGCTTTTGGAAACTGATCTAATGGAAATGTGGTTTTTCATTGTGCTTCTTTATTTTGGTTTAGAATTCCACAGCAGAGAGTCCTAGCCCAGACTCTGCAGGTCCTTGGCACTGGATTTAAGGCATGCCATCCACTCTCCAAAGCACTGCGCTACTGCCAACCCACGGGGGCTCATGGTTGCACAGCACTTTGCTGATCAAGCTGACAAGTATAATTTAAAAAGCCCACAACTCGCACTTTTATTTCCTCTACTTCTTTGTCAAGGCCTTTCCAGTTGTATAGAGGTATATATATGCTCCATTTTGCTTTTTGAGGTCTCTCTCCCTTTCCATGAGAGTATTTGGGCCAGCTCATGTAAGGGTTAATTCATTTGGAATGTAGAATAGCTTTTGGAGGTTATAAAGAAATGGCAATAATGTGCATACAATTGACTAGCATTGGGAATGCAAATAATGGATGTGCTTGCCAGTCTCTAAAAGGGAAGCTGCTCCGCTTATTCCATGGGTAAGAGGCATGAGCCCCAAATGGTAGTCCAGCTCATCTCATGTATCTTACCGTGGGTGGAGTGGGGAGAGATATGGCTTTATACTGGAAGTATGAACCACTGGCACATCTGCTTTGCTGTAGTACTTCACCAAATATGCCTGTTTTTTCTCTCTCTCTGTGGCTTTTAAAATGATAAATAGGACCACCCTTTCTGCACCAAGAATTTAGAATTCCAAAGCGGAGTACTTTGGGATTCTACCTTGGCCTTAAATGTTGGTTGAAGTGTGCAGGCTGTAATCCTGCAAACACTTACCTGATTGATAGACCTACTGAGCCTAGTGAAATAGATAACAGTCTCTTCAATTGACCAAAATTTTGCCTTTTTCTCCTGGCTTAACACTGTTGCATTATAGGGTTTGAGGCATCAGACTTGATATAAATGTGGATGCATAACCTCAGAAATAGTGTAGAAATGGGCAGCACTGATGGTAGGACAAAATCTGGAGTAATGCACATTAAGGAAGATTTTCTCCAGCTTTTGATCCTTAAAACAGCAGCATGTGAGATCACAATCCTTCCACCTCTTCTTTCTTTGTCTCTTTTTTTTTTTTGCTGTGTTTCTGTCCTGTTGTCTCCTAAAGCGGAACACACCAACGAAAGAAAGATAGAGGGCCTTCCATCAAACTTACAAACTAAAAAGACAAGACACACAAGGGAAGAGGGATAAAATGGTGAGCTGTAAGTAGGCAGTTTTAACTCGTGTGTGCTTCCTTCAGCTCTCTAGTCTCAGGGTTGGAGCACATACTGGTGTTTTAGAACTCTTGGTGGAACGTTGCCTTACACACTGCGGTGCATTATATCTTCTGAGTGTCCAGGAAACTTAATGGGAGCCAAGAAGCACCTATTTATAGTGCCAGAAGCAATGCCGGGATAACAGATTTCAGTGTATCAAAGACACGGCAGGCCAAAGTTGCAGGCCCAGTTGATCTTCTGAAGAATGATAGTTGAAGGATCTCTGCAGCAAACTAGTGGTTGTGGAAAGTTTGACTTGGACCCTTTTGCATTTGATACTGCATTCTACTTTCCATCTGTTACTCTTGATATTTGTTAAAGAAAACTCTTCCCCCTCCCCCAAAGCTTGATAAAATTATCCCAGCCCCCTTGTTGGCATGTCTCCTGCCTTACATTGTATTATTATTATTATTTAGATACCAAGATGTTAATAAGAGTCCCTTTCGTGAATTGCAGGGATGGGGAGCCTGTGGTCCTTCAGGTGTTCTTAGACTCCCCTTGGTGCTAGCCAGCATGGCCTCTAGCCAGCAGTGATGAGAATTCTAGCTCAACAACATCTGGAGGCCTGCAGATCCCCCCTCCCCAATGCATTGCAATCCACACAACTCTATATTTCTCCTAACATTTATCTACACCAGTCCTGCTTACCATTCTACCCCTGCTGCAATCATGAGACTGCTTTTAAATATGTTTATTATTTTAGTTATTTGCATTTGCTGGTCACCTTAGACTGGATGTTCTTTAGGTGCCATGAAGCAATTAGATTTTAAAACAGAATTTAAAGCACAGCATAATGCAAGCAAATTCAGTATAAAAGTCTGATACCAAACAAGGAGAATAAAACATCACAACCTTTCTCACCTTCACTGGCTCCTCATTTGCTTCCAGGCCCAATTCAAAGTGTTTGTTTTGACCTGCAAAGCCTTACACTGACTGGGACTTTGGAACCTGGCAGAAGACATCCTTCTGTATTTATCAGTCCATGCAATATGACCATCTAAACTGTTTTGCCTGAGTGCCCAGTCAGTCTGATATACAAAGAGTAGTTGCTAGAGAAGAGGACCTTCTCAGCAGAGTCCCCTCAGTTGTGAAATGCCCTCTCAAGAGTGGTTCACCTGATACCCACATTAATGTCCTTACAGTACCCTAAGAAGGATCAGGCCAATGGCCCATCCGTCCACATCCTGTTCTCCCAGTGGCCAATCAGATGCTGTGGGAAACCTGCAAGCAGGACCCAAGCACAAGAGCACTCTCCCCTCCGTATTACTGCCACCAACTGTGGAGGCGGAGCTTGGCCATCATGGCTTGTAGCCACTGATCCACCAGACAGACTTAGTTGTTCTCCAAGGCCTTTTAACATCTTCTAGCATTCCTTTACATTGACATTCATCTGTGAAGCCAGCTTTTCTACATCTCTATGGGGTTGTAGCTGGGATGCCAACCTAAGCTGGTGAAAGGCACTGTGCACCACAGATACCACTTTCACCTCTAATAACAAGGATGGATCCAAGAGTGCCCTCAGGCTACAAACATGATTCTTCAGAGGGTGGTGCAACCTCATCTAGAACTTCATGTTGGAAAGTGAACTTCATAACCCCCTTTTCAACATGGTATTTCTGTTGGGAGTACAGCACCAGGGAAGAGCCTTCTGGCACCTTAAAAGATGTGCACCATCTTTTGTGGACTGGGGTCCACTTTATCAGATACACCAGTGTTTCCCAAACTTGGGTCTCCAGCTGTTTTTGGACTACAACGCTCAACATCCCCAGCTACCAGAACCAGTAGTCAGGGATGGTGGAAATTGTAGTTCAAAAACAGCTGGAGACCCAAGTTTGGGAAGCATTGAGATACATGAAGTGCTATTCTATGTTTGTAGGTCAATATAAACCTGATGGTAGAGAGAGGAAGAAGAAAGCAGCGAAGTCAGGGTGAAATGAAATGCAAAAATGTAACAGCTGGGCTAAAGCTTAAACGTATGCAAAGTTTACCATTCACAAAACAGTGTTAAAGATAACAAAAGCACCAAGCACCTGATGGTCTAGTCTATGAAAGCTTATGTCATAGTAAAATTTGTTAGTCTGTAAGACTACCATAGTTTTCCCTCTGTAAATGGCTTGAATACTCAATACCAGAGGTCAGCAAGCTTACCGGATGATGGGCCAGTCCACGCTCCGTCTGTCGGAGGATGGGTCAGAGTGTGTGCGCATGCGCACTCTTCTGGATCAGAGGAGTGCCCATGCGCACATGCTATATCTGGCACTCCTCTGACCCAGATGTGTGCCAGAAATAGCGTGTGCGCATGCGCATGGGCGCTTCTCTGTCCCACACACATGCGCACATGCTATTTCCGGCACACATCTAGGTCGGAGGAGTGCCTGTGCGCACACACACACACGGGTGCCATCAACCTGGAAGTCAGTCCCCACACCGCACCACACCAGTAAGAGCGGGGGGTGGCAGGAGTCGCCATGGGCCGGATAGACGAGCCCCGTGGGCCACTACCGGCCCATGGGCCTTAGGTTGCCAACCCCTGCTCAATACGCACAACTACTAAACAAGGTTTTTGTATGTTAGGAAGAGCATACTTAGCTGCCTTATACTGAGTCAGACTGCTGGTCCATCTTGTTCTGTATTATCTGCTCTGACTAGCGGTAGCTGTCCAGGATTTCAGACAGGGATGCTAGGAACTGAATTTAGTTTTGGATTTGGTATTGCAGATTCTGTAAGGGGTGTCATAACAACATAAGCAAAGCCTGCTGGATCAGGCCAATGACCCATTTAGTCTAGCATCCTGTACTCATAGCGGTCAACCAGATGTTTGTGGGAAACCCTAAGCAGGACCTGAGCACAAGAGCACTCTCGCCTCCTGTGGTTTCCAGAGGCTGGTATTCAGAAGGATTGCTGCCATCAACCACAGTGTCAGGCCCCTTTGTAGTGCACATTAACCACACTAGGATATCATCCTGCTGAAATGGCATTAGGAGTAACTAATATAAACTTGCACCATCATGATCACTGATTTGAATTTCCCCTCTGTTCCTCTGCAGCCTCTCTAGTTGCAGCTGTGTATTGAGCCTTCTTAATTCTAGCCATGAAATGTGTGCTGAGATATGAAGGTTCTGAATGCTGCTTGTCAAATGTGATCAGGTTAGGGCTCTGACAGACATCCAGGAGAAAGGAGCAGCTACTGCAAGCACGGCTGTACATGCTTCGCGAAGTTCAAAATCACACATAAATGAATTGGATCAGAATGACCCTATTGCCAATGGGTAGAAGAGGGGTGGCTAACCCCTCGCCCAGGGGCCTAACCTGGTCTGCCGAGGAATTTGTCTATCTGTCTTCTCAGCTGATCTGCATTGGAGCAGCTGAGGAGGTGGAGGTATATGTGTGCTTCTCCTATGACTGTGTGTACAGAAAGCGAGAGAGCGCACTTGTGAAAGTGTGGCGTGGTCCCCTTTTACATGCACCCATCACTGGCCCCTCAGGTCAGAAAATGTTTTCCACTCCGGACTAGAAGATATTTAGGTTCCAAGTAATTTTAAGCTTTCAAGCTCATGAGCAACCCATTTCCTTTTCCCAAAAGGCTATTCAAAACTCTGGAGCTCGTGGATATTGTGCCCACAAACTGCCCCTTTGTAGGAGCCAGAATGCTGCTGTGTTGGGTTACTTTCTTTGTCTCATTGGCACTAGTCTGCCTAATTCAGTTATTTTAGGAAAAGCTATATGTTTGGTCTCTAATCAAGTGCTCAGCTGCTCAGAGTACTCAGGAATTGCTCTAACTCCTTTTTGTGATTTCTGGCCTGTGACATTCCAGCTGTGTGCTGGAAGCCTTGGTACAGAAAGCAGAGTTCAGGTCATGCATTTGGCATTTTTAACCTTGGATAGCAACTTTGCTTCCTCAGTTACATAATCCTTTTTAAGCATTTGTCTTGCATCTTCATGTAACAATCTTAAGCCAGTTAAGTTTTCTCTGGTGCAGTCTATTCCAAGTACTACTGCTTGTCTTTGCCCTGTGGCCAAGCTGCAGGAGTGATCTCTTCAGAATCCCCAAACTCATCACAGTCTGTGCACTAAACTTCTTCCTGCCTGATGCCGAACAACCCTCATTGCTAAACTCTTTCCTCCCTCACAGCAAACAGTCCAGCAGGTGAAGCTCTTAGCCATTGTGTGGGTTTTTCCTCTCCTCTCTGCTGTCCTTCCCCAGATGAATTCATCCAGCATCACACCTCCCTCCCTTTCAGCTAAACCATTATCACTACACATTTATTCGAACATCTGATAACATAATACTATTCTCTATTAGATGACCCTTTCTCTGGGATCCAATTCTAGGTTGTCTTCTGGAACATCCCTACTCCCAACACAGTCTGTTCTTAAAGAAACTGCTATGCTTCTTTGTGCTCCAGGGAAGCCAAGTGCAAATTCACACGATCCTATTTGCTTTGTGATAATTCTTGCAGGTGAGTGACAGTAGTAAACATCCAGCCAGGATGATTAGGTATTGCAGATACACCAATCTAAAAAGGCAAGCATATAACTTCATAACTTGTAACAATGGATTTTGTGAACCGTCAGGCACTTGATCTTTGAATTCTGTAAATTTCAGTTGCATTTAAAACCAGTTCAAACATTCAGAAAATACATGTAGCACAATGGACTTCCTGGACTATGCCACTTCAGAATGCCAGAATGTCCCCTGCATCTTTGAGTGCTTCCCAACTTCAAAAACTTGGTCCATCTGGAAATATAGGATATAATGGAGAATGATATTAGAATAATTTTCTTATTGATGTGCTAGGTTTCTCAATATGGAGAGTCTTAAGGGAGAAGCATTTAAACTTGCAACCCCTCACCAGAGTTCTGACGTGATATAATCTGAGGACTGTGCTATGTGCTATTCCTCAGAGTATTTGAATTGGCTCCAAGTCTCTTACTGAACTGGTGGCCTTTGGTTTACACAGCTGTAAATGTGATCGACTGGGGTTTGAGCTTTTAAAGGCCATTGAATGTATTGTTTTTATAAACTGGTCCTGTGCCCGCAGAATCCACTGCATGGAATGTGTGATTCTGTAGGACCACCAGAAACAGTGATTTGGAGATCACAGTGTGACCTTGCTGGAGCCCAGATCTTTCGCTCTTACAAAATTAGCATTCAAGGCACAGGAAGGAAAAATATCACTCCCAGAAACGCCCTTCTGGGTTTTTCCTCTGAGTCTAGAGCCTTGTGTTGACCACCTGGCCTGCTGTGAGTTTGCTCAGATAAGGGTCTTGCCTGCCAGCTGGATTTAGTTCCTCACCTCTTTTATGTAGGTGTACTTTATACTTATAAAGTAATGTCCTTGCTTCTGGGACAGTGAGGCATCTTGACTCAACCCATCTGGAAAACCACATAATAAATGGAGCCAGTGACTTTCAACTTTGATGTGCCTACCAGCTAGTATGCTTTCAAGGTGGCTCTTGGCAGAGCACATGGCTGTCAGTCCTAACATATAACACCTCCACAAACCCAGACCAGATTTAGACAAGGCAGTAGGCACGTGAAAAACATTTATACATTCAAGATTTCCCATAGTCTGGCGTCTGATTTAAAGCGGCCTTAACTTGTATGCTGCCCCCTACAGATCTAGTGCTTGCATGCCATGGTGTGGCCTCCATCCAAGCTGTAGAGTGCAAAAGGTGCATGGACTGAGGTCAACACATGGGTTAAGAACCTTTTGGTATGATGCTGGACCATATAATGCCCTGTTTTCTTTCCTAAGTGCTTTTTGCGCATCTTTGAACCAGGCCTTAGTCTTGAAATTTAAAACACCTAATTTTCAAAAACCTGAAATATGTATGACTCAAAATAAAAGGGCAGAATGGGCTGTATCACTGCAGTCTACAGGACAAGGGATGCCATTTATGAATACCCCCCAATGCAAAGAACTTCTGCATGTAAAGAGCTTGCACATCAGAGAGAGAGATTCTAGGTTGAATAATCTCTGTACTTTTGCTAGGTTTTTTGCTTGCTCACCAATACCAACAGGGAACTTTTTTTTTTAAAGTGATCCCTGCAGTCTGAAGTGGTCCATTCTACCACATCATTTTACTTTTGTTCTGTTCCATATATATAGTCCACATGAAAGCGCCAGCACAGAAGTAAGAACAGGTCTTGGTCCCTTTCTAATGCAACTGTGAGAAAAGAAATGGGGAAAAAACCCAAGGTCTTTGAGAGAGCTTTTGGCAGTTAGCATACTACTAGTTATCTCCATGCAAATTTCTCCAGCTCAGAAGCCAGTTGTTTTTTTTTTTAATGCATCATACCAACACTTATAACCAGAATGCAATTAAGCAAGTTAAGGAAATTAGACAAATTTGTTTGCTTTGGACTGTGATAGGCTGTTAAAGTTGATGATGAGGTAAAGCAAATGATGACTGCTTTATACTTTGTGTTTGGTGACGTGGTTTCCACTCCAAAACATAGTGTGTTCTGGGCTTATCTTGTGGATGGAGGCATCTCTATTGAATATCCCTATACCAGTGCCATTGCTCTTTCCAGGCTACTGATACTACTGTGTAAATGTTCCACGCATTAAAGGAGCAGTGTAGACCCCTACTGTGAGGAAATACACATTCGGAAACTTAGTCTTATTATGTATTAACTGATGTATTAACTGATATTTGATGTGTGCTACATATCAATTGACTATGCAGTGAATGAGTAAGCCATGAAATTATCTGTCAGGTTGTTTTAGCTTTGCCCAAACCAGCATGAAAGCACCTACCTGATTGCCTAGGAGATCTGGCTGCAGATTTGATAAAAGAACAGTGCTTATTCATACAATGCATAATTACCTTATGCAATTCACTAATGCAAGATACGGTGATGGCAATGATGGCCACTAGCTCAGAAGGTTTTTAAGCGGAAGTCTATCAGCAGCTTTTAGCCATGATATAGCCAGTATAGGGATGCGGGTGGCACTGTGGGTTGAACCACAGAGCCTAGGGCTTGCCGATCAGAAGGTCGGTAGTTTGAATCCCCGCGACGGGGTGAGCTCCCGTTGCTCGGTCCCAGCTCCTGCCAACCTAGCAGTTCAAAAGCACGTCAAAGTGCAAGTAGATAAATAGGTACTGCTCTGGCGGGAAGGTAAACGGCGTTTCCATGCGCTGCTCTGGTTCGCCAGAAGCGGCTTAGTCATGCTGGCCACATGACCCGGAAGCTGTACGCCGGCTCCCTTGGCCAATAAAGCCAGTTGAGCGGCGCAACCCCAGAGTCGGTCACGACTGGACCTAATGGTCAGGGGTCCCTTTACCTTATAGCCAGTATACCTCCTGAATACCAGATGCCAGGGTCTAACAGTGGATGGACATCATCATCATCTTGAGCTTCCAAAGATGACAGGCAGTTGTCTGGGTACCATTGGAAAAGAGATGTTGAAACAGAAGGACTTAGTTCTGATCTAGCAAGGCAACGGAGACCAATGCTTCTGCCCCTTTTTTGAGTTATGGGGCCAAATAAGAAGTCCCTTCAGCTTTCAGGACACCTGGGGAATAGGCCTCCTCCAAAGTGGACTTTACCAATCCAGTATGCATGGGGTGCAAATGAGAAGGCGTGGAGGGGATGCTTTAGTTTAATGAAGGTTGTGAAGTGTCATGAAGGTTGCCTAAAAATGGGCTGCTCCCAAGGTGTGGGAACTGTTTCCTCCCCTCCTCTTTTTTATGCAGCTTGTTGGAGTTTAATTTAAATATTGAGAGCAGACTTTGCCTTGGAGGAGCTTGCAGTGAGTTTGCAAGGGAAGCTAAAGTGCCATGCAAATCTCTGAAATGGATGGTTTTGGTGTAATTAAGCTGCCTCATGCAAGGAGTGTTAGATGTCCCTTTGGGTACCCTGATCTTGTGATCTCTGACTATCTTTTTCCTGCTGCTGACAGAAATCCTTTCCCCATGTGGAGCTTTCAGCATATGGCAGACAGGCTCTAGGTTGATCCCATTTTAAATACCTCCCTTTTCAGACTTCGGCACAGTTCTGGATGCAGCTGCACAGAGATGCGGCTCCATTGGCTGTGCATGTGGAGTGAGACTTGAGCTCATGTGCCTTCTTCCTCCCTTCTCTGGTTTAGCCATGGAGAGGAGATTGGAAGCTTTTCCTTCCATTTTAGACTTAACCACAGTTTGTTGTGGTGTCATCCCAGTAAGGTGTAGTTAATTTTCAGACTGTGGCTAATTCTCTGGTTTCCAAATGAGGTTTTTGCATCAAGGGGATGGTCTTGTACAGTGGTACCTCGGGTTAAGAACTTAATTCGTTCTGGAGGTCCGTTCTTAACCTGAAACTGTTCTTAACCTGAGGTACCACTTTAGCTAATGGGGCCTCTCGCTGCTGGAGCACGATTTCTGTTCTCATCCTGAAGCAAAGTTCTTAACCCGAGGTACTATTTCTGCGTTAGCGGAGTCTGTAACCTGAAGTGTCTGTAACCTGAAGCGTCTGTAACCTGAGGTACCACTGTATTTGTTGAAATAGTGGGATGATGTGGAGTATAAAATCTCTAAATACATCAGCCTCTTTAACTATAGTTTGTTTAAACAAGCCAGCTTCAAACTCTTGTTTACAAAGCTGCCTTGTTTCCAGAAACCATAGTTTAGATTAACCACATTTTAGGGTTCAGGTGTAACACTAAATTGTGGTCAATTTAAAATGGGAGTGGAAGCTTCCAGTCTCCTCCATGCAGGTGTACTGGAGGCTTAGCATTACAGGTGAGTGCAGGCACATTGTCCTTGCATGGTTTGCAGATGATTTGTTGGCTTACCTGGAAGGGGTAAACAAGCATTTTGGGCAGTTTTCTTTGACTGCCAGGAAGCACGAATGTTTCAGGGTTGTTGGTCCACATGCTAGAGTTAAAAAGAGCTCAGACGTTTGGAGTGTGCAGGTCTAGTTACTAAGAACCCTTGGTCAAGCTGGACCAAGCTGGATGTGCAGCCAGCCAGCCAGCCAGCCAGGGAAACTCCATTACTCACCAGCAGCAGATGGTGCCTGTCAAGGGATGCTGAGAGGGGAGGAGCAGGGTGGTTGCCTCGGTGATTTTTCCATCACCACAGCAACAGAAAGGTCACCCAGAGGGTCCTTCATGCTCTCCCTTCCTGTGTATGAAGCTCTGAGATTTGTTGGAACGTAAGTCAGGGGGTATGATTGGAGGGATGGTGTATTCTGGGAAGGGGGCAGTGGGGGTTAGAGAGATGCCTTCCAGGATGAAATGTCTTGGGGACCCCTCTCCTGAGATCGCGGAACAGCAGGTAGTACCTGTTCCAAATGCTTTAGACTGAGTTCAAAGTAAACACGAGTGAAATGGAATCCAGAATTTGGGTTGCTTCATCTTCCAGAGTGAGAATAGTCCGTTCCTTGCTCACATGCATAGGTAAAGGTAAAGGGACCCCTGACTGTTAAGTCCAGTCGCGGACGACTCTGGGGTTGCGGTGCCCATCTCGCTTTACTGGCTGAGGGAGCCGGCGTTTGTCCGCAGACAGCTTCTGGGTCATGTGGCCAGCATGACTAAGCCGCTTCTGGCGAACCAGAGCAGTGCATGGAAATGCCGTTTACTTTCCCGCTGGAGCAGTACCTATTTATCTACTTGCACTTTGACGTGCTTTCGAACTGCTAGGTTGGCAGGAGCAGGGACCGAGCAAAGGGAGCTCACCCCGTTGTGGGAATTCGAACCACCGACCTTCTGATCAGCAAGCCCTAGGCTCTGTGGTTTAGACCACAGTGCCACCTGCGTCAGGTCACTTCATTTAGGTATTTGAAAATCAAAAGTTCCCCCACTGCCTCTCATTGAGCCAAAAACTCCTCTATCAGAGCACACATGTTTCTTTGCCTTTTCCCATGTATCTACTTATGATTAGGGACAAGAGGAGCTGCAGGTCTGTGTTCCATGTAGCAGCCTCCTGCAATAAGCATCCTGCGGAGGGAAGCAGAGAGGAGAAACTGGAACAGTTTGTCACCAGGGCATTCTATGTGGCAAGTTGCTCCTTTTCTGAAGAAGAGCCATCTGCTGTGAAGGAACCAACTGGAGTCAAATGATTCCTGGTGGTGGGTGGCAGTGCTAACGCAACAATGTCTAGCATAGACAGCTCCCCAGTTGCTCCCTTGAGGCAACAGCTCAGAGGGGGGCAGCTTGGAAACTCACAACCAGGGTTCTTTAACTAAAACTACCGACACAAAATGCCAGGGAACTGGTTCATTGTGTCCCAGATTGCATGTGCATTCCCACATCTTGACTCCCCTGTCTTTGATTGAATATTTCCAGGGTGTTTTGCTACTTGACTGAACAAAGGGCCTGTAAGTGCCCCCTACCATTCCTCCCTCCCCCACAATGTGCATGATGTTGTTAGCTAAGGATTTCCACCTTGAACTCAGCTGTTAGGACCAAAGGCTGGTTGGGTGGGGAAGGTGATGTGCTGCAGCACATACTGTCCAGACACAGCGGCGGCACCTGTCAGAAGTGGAACTGGTCTTTCTTGCTCAGTGGGAGTGGCTGCTGCACTGGTGCAGTGCTTCTCCTGGGGAAACAGAGGCAAGATCCGGCTCTGTTCTTTTGGTCCAAAGAAGGGGGCTGAAGGGAGGGAGAGGGAAAACTACTGATAACACCAAAAGGGATGGGGCAGAGGGGAGGGGACAGAAACCAGTATGTGTGTCAATACTCTGCAATGATGTGGCAGAGATTGATGGAGCAGCAAATAGAGCCCTCTAGTGACACATTTGCTTGTTAGCACGAGAGACACTTGCCGGAAGAACACATGTATTTTCAGCCCCTTCCACTCCCACTGAAACTCTGGTATCTCCCCACACATTCGCTAATTGACATTACTTTTTAGTGCTTTAAATGACACTGGATTGTCAGTGACAGCCTTCTCAAGAAGAGAGATGTAAAATTACCAGAAATTTTTAAGCCATCAAGGACAAAAAAACCAAAACAGTTTTTTGGGGGTGAAATTCTTGAGGAAATTGAAAAATAGGCAATACTTTTTTTCTAGTGCCCTTTAAAGATCCAAAGTCACTTTGTTACTTTAGAAACATAAAATGTATCATGCATAACTTGGTTTGCTTATTAAATTACCATGTTCTGTATGTTATATTAAAAATACAATTTATTCAGTTAATAATTACAAATTGAGTATACCTTTTGCTTTTCTTTCTTTTTGTTACATTTGGAGTTGCAAGCTGCTGAGCTGTAAGAAACCTAGCATCTCTTTGGTTTTTGCACTTTATGAGAAGAAAAAAAACAAACCCCAATAAAAACAGGAGAAACCACCAGCACTTTCTTTTTTAAAAAAGAAAATTATTATGGGTTGTGTGCAACTAAGTCCTACATTCTGTTTCTAAACAGGGATAGAATACCTGTGGCCTTTGGGTGCTGGCTGGATTCTAGCTTCCATCAACCATTACCAGCATGGCCAGTGGTCAGAGTTGCACATGGGAGTTGTAGTACAACATCTGGAGGGACACAGGTTCCCCACCCCTGGTTTAAAGCTGTTGTATGCTGAGACATTTTCCTCTTCATTTCTGCTCCTTGGACTTCCCTCAGTGGGTTCTCCCATGTACTACTCTGATCCTTTAAGTATGTGGTGCAATTTTTCCTACCGACTGCAGAGAGATTAGACGCCAGAAGTGAGTTGGTGGATACAACACCACACTGCTCTTGATTCTGCATATGACCTTGGGTATAAGGCACCAACTCCTCTTTCTCCACCATTCTGTACCAGAGCTGCTAGCCACACCCTTTGTGGCAGGAAGGATGTGGAGTGGTTTGGATTGAGGGGGTGTTCTAGCTGCCTGAATTACCTGCGAAGGAACTTTGATCTAGATCTAACTTTTAATTCACATCACGTGACATATTTTCTGTAGTGTCTAGATTTCTTTTTCTGTGTTGGTGCAGAAAGTATTTGTACCTGGGCCCTACTAAGATAAATGTATCTTCCCAATCACTTCTCTGAGCTCAAAGCAAGCTGAATGAGGTAAAATTTGAAGGTGGTAGAAGGGACTGTGCCACTTAAATTTGCATAACAGCACTATAGTTTTTAAATACTCTTCCACATAAAAACTCTCTGTCACAAGAAAGAAAAGCATAACAAGGAAAAAGGATCCATACCTCTTGCCTGCTGTGCTGGTTTCCTACATGCATGCAGGTGCTGTTTCTGTGGTTGTTGTTTTTTATTTTAATGTAGGACAGTTAAGGGGGAACCTGTGGCCTTCCAGATGTTAGATTACAGTTCCCACCATCTCTGACAGGTGCGCATTGTTTTCTGGGGCTGATGGGAAATGTGTTTCAACAACATCTTTAGGACCACCGTTTTCCCCCACCCGCCCGGACATATAGACTCCAGAGGTTTAGGTATGAGGTTCAGAAAAGGGCAACCAAAATGATCAAGGGACTAATGCAACTTCTCTATGAGGAGAAGTTAAAACATTTTGGGCTTTTTAGTTTGTAGAAGAGTCGAGTAAGCACAGGGGCATAATAAAAGGTGCCTAAAATTATGTGTGGGGTGGAGGAAGCAGATAGAACCAAAAGCCAACAAAGAAAATCGTATGTTGGAAGAGGCATTGCACACAAAATGAACTATTTCACTGTTGGAGACAGAATCCCTTCTGAATACCAGTTGCTGGGAAACACAAGAGGGGAGTGTGCTGTTGTGCTTGTGTTTCTGCTTGGCGGGCTTCAGGAACAGGACACTGGGCAAGGTGGACCTTTGGTCTGACCCAGCAGTGCTGGTATTATGCAACAAACATATAAATGACACCTTGTGCTGCAAACCAATGTTCTGCTATTTACACCTATCGGTTTCCACTCCAGATACTATCTTGAGCAGGGGTCCCCAACCTTTCTGGGCTCAGGGGCACTTGATCTACAAGAGGAAGTGGGTTCTGGGCCATGACAACCTTTGCGACAGTTACTTTGTTAACCTCTGAGGTTTCACAGGACTCCGGTGGAGAGTGCCCCCAAACTCCTTTTATTTCTATCTCTTCTTCTGAAAATGCTACTGCCTTGTTGATGCTGGAGAAGTCTCGCAAATTAGTGTTCAATGAGGTGGTCACCTGCCACTTAATTTGGCTGGAAGTGGTTTCCTCCTGCCACAGTCCATTTCCCTGACAGGGAAAAAGCAGCACTAAACAATGGCTGTTGTTACTTTCTGCACCCTCTCCTCCTTCTCTTCTTCCCCATATCCAGTGTGAAGTCAAGGGGAGGCAGGGAGGGAGGATAGCATCTATAGCAGAGCATTATACTTTCATGGCACAACATAACTTTGGCAGCCACTCTGTGTGACTTTTTAGAAGAAGGGAGGAGTGCATGTAGCTGTAATAGTGGTTCACTGTGCTTCCTTTGCTGGGAGCCACACCACAGTGCTGGAACAGCTCCTTCCATGCGTCTCTTGCCCTTGAATGTTAGAAGACAGAACCAGAAGCACAGCTACTATAGCGCTGTGCTGTTTTTCCATGGTGTGGGAAAGACAGTGCTGTGCAGTGGCAATAAGGGGGATGTGGCAGGTGTCAGTTTTTGTCACCCAGCTCTTCAGCTAATGATATTTGCTCTCTTATCTTCAGCTTTGAGTTTTGTTTGATGTTGGCATTTTATATTCAGAACTTCTCTGTCTGGAGGAGCTGAGTCAGGGCTGGTGTGGTAGTAGTGTGGATGCCTAAGGGGCTGCAGTAGTCACAATGAAATCACGTATGTCTCATCCTTGTCCCTTGTCTGCTCCTGGCTGAGTGATCTTCTTTCATTTTCCCTCCCCCAGGCTGTTCCTCTAAGTCATTCAAGCTGTACTCTCCAAAGGAGCCCCCAAACGGCAACGCCTTCCCCCCCTTTCACCCGGGCACTATGCTGGATCGAGATGTGGGGTAAGTGAGAAGCTCTTTTAGAGATGTATTTCCTTCCTTTTGATGGCTGAGGAGGTCACCTAAATTTGTTTCTGGAGAAACACCTCTGGAGTTCAGGGGAGCTCAGTTCCTGCGTATCATCAGCAGGGTCCACTATTGATTGGAAGGAGGGAATCCCAGAGACATTAACTGTTCAGAGAGACAGCAGGTGGTTGGTTACCTGTGAGGATAGCTACTGTATGCTGAGGGACGTGGGTGGCGCTGTGGGTTAAACCACAGAGCCTAGGACTTGCCGATCAGAAGGTCGGCGGTTCAAATCCCCGCAACGGGGTGAGCTCCCGTTGCTCGGTCCCTGCTCCTGCCAACCTAGCAGTTCGAAAGCACGTCAAAGTGCAAGTAGATAAATAGGTACCGCTCCAGCGGGAAGGTAAATGGTGTTTCCGTGCGCTGCTCTGGTTCGCCAGAAGCGGCTTAGTCATGCTGGCCACATGACCTGGAAGCTGTACACCGGCTCCCTTGGCCAGTAAAGCAAGATGAGCGCTGCAACCCTAGAGGCGGCCATGACTGGACCTAATGGTCAGGGGTCCCTTTACCTTTACCTTACTGTATGCTGATAGGAGCCATTAATTATTTTCTCATGGCACACCAGCCATTTTCTTTTGGAATGCTGGTGTGACCTTTCATACAGTGCTTTTTTTAATCTATCCTGTATTGGCTTATTTCTCTGCAGACCAACTCCTATGTATCCGCCAACATACCTGGAGCCTGGGATTGGGTAAGAGACTGCACTGCTTTTCCTTCTGACAAACTGTGTTGACAGGGTAAAGACAGATAAAACATTTTTCAAGTGTGGTGCAAGTGATTTCTAAGCAGATCACCCAGCTGCCCCCTTGTTCACGAGGGTATGAAGGCGGTTACTTTCCCCTCACCTTGAAAAGTACATAGAGGTAAAGAAGGAAGTTGGAAGACTCTCTTTCCCACTTCCTCTTTCAGCTCTATGTGCTTTTCAAGGCTTAGCTTAATTCTGTTGGATCTGACTTTTACCTAGATCCCTTAGAAAAGTGAAGGTTGTGTGCGTTCTCTCTTTCTCGGGGTGGGGCTGATGTGAGGGAGAAGGGAGAGAAGTGACCAGAGAGGGTGATACCCATAACACTAAAAAAATCCAATTGTGCCCATAGACCTAAAAAAAGGTTGGCAACCCATATAATCCATATGCATGTTGGAACCGCACCATAGTATTACTGAACTCATATTCTGGAAGAAAAACAAAAAACTTGGTTTCCAAACCTTCTTATAATGACAGCTGTTATAATCTCATGATACAGTCTAGCAAAGCTCTACAGTTAAATGTTTCAAGAAACATTTGCAGCCCTTTGAGGCATTTGCTTTCATGGTAGTGGATCTGTGTTCAAACCACTTGAAAATGTTAACATCTGTCCTCATCCAAACAGAACCTTAAATGAAGGGTGCATGCGGTGTGCATATTTATGCATTTTCAAATGTGTATGAAATTATCTATTTTGACAAGAGTCAGAACTTCAGTGTGTAGGGAGAAAAGGGGGGAAGGGAAGTGGAATCAAGCTGAGAGGAGTGGCTGGGGCAACCCAGTCTGATGGGTGGGATGTAAGAAATAAATTAGCAGCAGCAACAGCAGCGGAGTGACCTTTTCTCTGTTCCTACATTGTAAATCACTCTGAGGGTTTTTGCCTACAATCAAACAGTATATAAATTTTATGAAATAAACGCACTCTCTCGTTTGAGGAAATCCTGTGAAATAGTCTCCTACATCAAGTATCATGCAGGTACTTTCTGACTAGGATTGGAACATTTGTAGAAGCAAATCCCATTGAATTCAATTGGGCTCACTCTTATAAAAGAGTCTCAAGTTCAATCCCTGGCATCACAAGATAGGACTGAACTTTTAAAAAATATTGCTTTTATTTTGTATAATCATGAGATACAAATACCCATTCCCCTCCCACAGCAATAAGCATGCAGCATGTTCTTACTCCTATTGTTTATTTTGTTCCATAACCATTGCTGCTGGTGTCTGTTTTGTTTCATAATCATGGAATGATTAGTAGATGAATCTCTGGGCTATGAAAGACTTTCACCTGAAAACTTAAGAGAACCCTTGCTAAGTCAGTGTAAACAGCAATGAGCTAAATGAATCAGTGGTTGGACCCTGTGTAAGGTAGCTTCCTGTGTTCCTATTTTAATTGACTAAAAAGCGACCCCCAATTAATCAGACAATAGGTTTTTTTTTATTTAAAAAACCCCCAAATATTTTTAATATGAGTAGGTACATAAAGTTCTATGGTGGCAATTACCATCTGCAGAGACATTATCCTACAGGTTTCATCAGCAGCACCTGGTGGTGGTGGTGATTTCGCGTCCCTGATCTTAATGGCTGCTGTTAGTTTAAAAAGGAAGACTCCAGGCATAGAGATAGATGCAAATATGTGGTTAATGTCACATCTAATTTTATCATAAGAACAGTAAATTGTGTACCCTCCATCGCACCTCTGGAAAGGCCTTTTATTTCTTTAACAATGAAATTGTTATTTGACAAGATTCATATACTGCTTGATTGTAAGAAAACCTTCTAAAAGTTTGCAAGAATATGGTCCAGTGATTGGAAAGTTGGACACAGATGTGGAGAAACCTGAATTTACATCCCTGCTCAGCCATTAACTTGGTGGGTGGCACTTGGGGTGTGGGGAGGCATTTTTCTGTCTGTTAAATGTGAACACCAAAGCAAGTAATACATTCTGCATCATTGTAACACCCCAGACAAATTATTCTATCTTACTAGATCGAAATATTAATTGTTCAATTGCTGTGGTTGATTGACAGGAGGCACACACCATATGGCAACCAGACTGACTACAGGATATTTGAGCTCAATAAGCGGCTGCAAAACTGGACAGAGGTATATTTATATGGGGGTTCAGGGTGGTTGAATCGGGAGGAAGAGTGGGGAAACTTGTGGATGGGGGTACTGTTACTCTTGCAGGGGATGGAAGAAGAGTCTGGGGTGTCCACCAAGCCCTTGGAAACACCCTTCCTGGGTTCCTTTGCTGCCTTTGGTGGCGGCTGGTTATCTCCTAGCCTTTGGAGATCTCCCCTCCCTGCATGTAATGCTTTTGTCCTCTGTTGGTGCAGGAATGTGACAATCTGTGGTGGGACGCCTTCACCACCGAGTTCTTTGAGGATGATGCCATGCTAACAATCACCTTCTGTCTGGAAGATGGACCAAAGAGATACAGTGAGTCTCAGCCTAGGACAGATCCTGCAGGCAGGCACCGTTGTCTCATGTAGGGAAAGGGCTGAAGCTGAGCAGGTTGCTTCAAAGCCTCTCCCAAGCTAACCTTGAAGGAGTAGTCCCCTGTTTTCAGGGTTGGCTGTGAGCTTAGCATCTGGTACGTAGCTGGTGTGGCTCAACCAGCCCCCCTTGCCTTCATAGCCCATCCTGAAGAAGGAACTCCAGAAGAATCTACTACATAGCTCAGATATTGGTAAAGCTGATGACTAGGAATGGAGTGTATATCGTACTGCTTACTAGGCTGTAAAAACTGACCCTTCATTTTGCAACCACAGAACACTCCAGTTGCCTTCCAGCAGACATTTAGCACCTGCGATCTTGCTTAGGAGCTCATGGTGTGTACCTGTGATGGAGCAGGGCAAATTTTCAGAAATTTCAGCAATTTCTATCGGTTCCTCCAGTATAAATACATTTTCCATGATTGAAAACAGATTTGTAATGCTTCCTAGGCACAGACACATAAATTGGCTGAAAAGGTTGGTGCGTTAAGAAGCACACTGGAAATGAAAATCTTCCTAGTCTTAAAAGTATCAAGCAATTTTTAAAAAGCATTTTCATCCCTCTAGTTCCTCCAAGAATCTTCATTTCTCACAGAGGAACTGAAAAGTTTCAGGGCCAGGATGGTCTTGATTTATGCATTCATGTCAGCACTTGCATGTGTCAAAGGCACACCCACACACCTCCCTTTATACATCATATTCTAGATAAGAGGCAAATACTTTCAGGGTGAAAATGTGTATCATTTCTTTTTAAAGCAATTTGGCACATCACCAGTCTCTCCTTGGGACAGAGGTTGGAATGCTGTTGTCCAAGTAGGCTTTTGAAGCATAGCTTCCTAGAGACCCAGTTGATCACAGCAGGTCACAGCTCTGATCCCCACAATCGTCATGGGTGGGCCTTGGGCAACCCACCTATGAGTAAGCCCGAGGGGTTGGGAAACAAGGACAGTTTGCCCAGGACCTCCAAAACTGGAGCTTGGACTGCTCTACATATTCATTTGGATACTTCATCTGGTGCCTTACTATGGAAGACTTCGCTCGCTTGGTATTTCCACAGAGATGCTAATGATCCCCATCATAAAAATAAGTGCCTATTGCTCTAGCAGCCCTGAGTCTGCAGTGCAAAATATCAGTAACTGATTTTCATCTCCCTTTCCTTCCCCTACGTCTAGCGATTGGCCGCACCCTGATCCCCCGCTATTTCCGCAGCATCTTCGAAGGGGGTGCTACCGAGCTGTATTATGTCCTGAAGCACCCGAAGGAGTCCTTCCACAACAACTTTGTCTCGCTCGACTGTGACCAGTGCACCATGGTCACCCAGCATGGCAAGCCCATGTTCACCCAGGTGAGAGGGCAGCACTGGTCCTCTGCCTCGCCCCCAAGCCAGGCTAGCAGGAGTCTGTGCTGAACTGCTCCCCAGAGTAGTTCAGCCCTTTGTCACTGCTTATGACCTCCTGCAAAGAGCCCGAGGGTGGCGGAAGCAGGCAGAAACCTAGAGACCAGGTTTGTTTGCAGGGTGGAGAAGGCTCACCTGAGCCGCCAATGCCATTTGTTTGCTTTCCACTTTCCCAGGTGTGTGTGGAGGGCCGCCTCTACCTGGAGTTCATGTTTGACGACATGATGAGGATAAAGACGTGGCACTTCAGTATCCGGCAGCACCGGGAGCTCATTCCCCGCAGCATCCTTGCTATGCATGTGAGTCTTGTGTTTGGTACTGGCTGTGGGCTTGACCTGGTTTAAGCAACTCAGCCGGACTCCCTCTGAAATCAGGAGCATTTTGTAGTTTGAGCTTGCTTTGTGTTGCTGAGCCCTACTCCCCCCCCCCAAAAAAAGCACTGTTGCTTCTTGAATCTTTGCCAGCTCAGCTCCTCAGCACCCAGGCCAGCACCTGTCACCAGAGGGAAGAAGCGGGTGCACAATTCTCAATTCCTAAATTGTTGATCTTGGACTGGATGCCATACATGAGGCTTTTATCCAGCTTTTCATATCTGCATTTCATGGGTTTGTTTTCATTGGCACTCTCTTTCTACTGAAAAGAATCATAAAGTGGCTTTGGGGAGGAATAATACAAAATGCAAGGAAAACTAACCCCAAGAAATATTGATGATCACATTAAGAGCAACAATAGTACAAAGAAGCCTCCTATTCTTGTTGGACTCTTCCTTTTCTCCTTGCTCACTGCAGGCGCAAGATCCCCAGATGCTGGACCAGTTGTCCAAGAACATCACTCGATGCGGACTGTCAAACTCCACGCTCAACTACCTCCGAGTAAGTGCTTTCCCACAGGATGGTTAGGGAAAAGCTCCCTTGCATCCTTCCCTTTTACTTTTCATAAAGAAACATAAAGCTTACCTTTCAAATGCGGCACCTGGGGACTAATGCCTCTGTATTTTTTGCTCTACTTTACGATTTATTTGAACGGAGCAGATCATTTTACTGCGTGCATATTGTGGCTGCAAGGAGGACTGGAGGCCAGGAAGTTATTGCTAGAAACTAGTTCCGTGCAAGGAAAGAGTACAGGAAAATGCAGATTAAAGGTTTATACAGAGGAACATGAATTTCCATAAATATATTTATGTATGAAAATCAGCTTGTGGCATTGGCTTCTGTGAATGCTCCACGGCTGTTGGGGGCAAAGATGCCTTCATATTGGGCTATGCCCATGTGCACAGAAAAGCCTCTGCATTCTGTGTGTAGCTTGAGATGCATTGCTTGGAGGTGTGTCCCTGTGGATGCGCCACTAGCAAAGAAAAAGGGCAAGGCTGAAGCTGGGAATGTACTTTATTCTGAGACCAGAGACTAGAAGATGGTTTATGTTGCCAGGGTGCTCCTTTTCCATCTTGCCCAAGACACAGACACAGAGCTGCATTTGGCACGAGGGGGTTCCTAGCCTCTTTTTTTTATATATAATTTTTTTATTAACAATTTCAACATAACAGTATATCAAAACATATCATATTCATTATTCCCCCCCTCCCCATTCCCCATCAAACCCTCCCTCCCCCCCGAGACTTCCCGCAGCTCCTCTCTCTGATTTCTCAGCGCATGTTATTTTCTGCATATTATAAAATTATTTCAATTCTTATATTATCTATCTACCATGTTAGCAATCACTAAATTTGTGTATGTTTATTCAAAACCTGCCAAGGAGTCCCAATTCATTTTGTTGTCTTTTTAAATACCATATTTTTTGCTCTATAAGACTCACCTTTTCCCCCCTAAAAAGTAAGGGGAAATGTGTGGGCGTCTTATGGAGCGAATGCAGGCTGCGCAGCTATCCCAGAAGCCAGAACAGCAAGAGGAATTGCTGCTTTCACTGCGCAGCGATCCCTCTTGCTGTTCTGGCTTCTGAGATTCAGAATATTCTTTTTCTTGTTTTCCTCCTCCAAAAACTAGGTGCGTCTTGTGGTCTGGTGCGTCTTATAGAGCGAAAAATACGGTACTTTGTAAAAAGTTCCCATTCTTCTTTGAAGTCACAGTTGTCCTTATCTCGCAGTTTGTATGTCAGTTTAGCCAGTTCTGCATAGTTCATCAATTTCTCTTGCCACTGTTCTTTTGTCGGGGTTTCCTCATTCTTCCATCCTTGTGCTATCAAGACTCTTGCTGCTGCTGCTGCTGTTGCATACATGAATAAGTTCTTTGTTTTCCTTGGAAGGTCTTGTCCTACAATCCCTAGCAAAAATGCTTCTGGGTTTTTATACAAATGTCATTTTAAACATTTTCTTCAATTCATTATATATCATTTCCCAATTTTTTAAAAATTCTCTACATTCCCACCACATATGATAAAAGGTCCCTTCCTTTTCTAAGGGGTTTCTGGCCTCTAAATAGGGGCCTGCTCTCCGCAGCAAAACCCAACCTTACATCTCTTTCTTCCCTCTTTACAGCTTTGCGTAATCTTAGAACCAATGCAGGAGTTGATGTCACGGCACAAGACCTACAGCCTCAGTCCCCGGGACTGCCTCAAGACATGCCTCTTCCAAAAGTGGCAACGGATGGTGGCGCCACCTGGTGAGAGTTTTGCAGGGCCACCCTCGGTACTACAGCTACCTGGATGCATTTCCTGTGAAGCCCACTAGAGGGAGGTATAGAAATTGCCCTTCTCCGGCCTGCAACTGCTAGTTGGGACTACTGACATTTCCTGTGAAACCCACCAGAGGGTGCTGTGGGCATTGCCCTTCTCTGGGATGCAGTTGCTAGTAGGGAATCCTGTGTTTGGTGCCAGAACTCTTGGCTTCTATTCCTGGCTCGGTTGCTACAATGTGGGATGGGTGAATGAGATCTGGGGGGGTTGATGATGTTCGAAGAGGTTACAGGCAAGTGTAACCGGTGAATCAGGCTTTGGGGGAAGCCTAGCAAATATACAATAGCGAGTTGGATTGGGAGGTATTTTTAGTTACAGCTTGATTGTATTGGGGAATACTGGATTCATTTGCTGGGACCAAGATGTCTCACCGGCGTTCCCTTTGCTAACGCTTTCCAGCTGAGCCTGCACGTCAGCAGCCCAGCAAGCGCCGGAAAAGGAAGATGTCAGGGGGCAGCACCATGAGTTCTGGAGGCGGCAACGCCAACAACAGCAACAGCAAGAAGAAGAGCCCAGCCAGCACCTTTGCCCTCTCCAGTCAGGTACCTGTAAGCATCCCCTTTTCGTTCTCTCTTTTGGTAACCTGAGAACTCCTCCTGCGAGGGGCCCTGCTCCATGTAGCTGGAACACCCTCCGAAACGCTGGAGAAGGCTCCCTGCAGTGTATCTGCAGGGGGCGGGATAGAGAGCTTTGTTTGTTCAAAACGGTGGCAGCAGCCATCTTGAAAGTGGCAGCACTGTTGGGGTGCCTGGTGGTGCCAGCGCCACATCAGGAAGAGGATTCCTCCTGTGATTCTTCATGTTTGACATCCTCACCCCCCTCAGCCCTATGCCACCTACATTCAGGCATAGTCAGAGGGTAAGCTTCCTCCTCATGAGGGAACAGTAGATCCAGAGGCATTTGACCTCCCAGACATGTTAAGTGGCTGTCGGCTCCTAAACACACAGTGGAAATAGAGTAGCCACAGTTGTAGGAATGTTGGTGGGTGGGGTGGGGGGTGGGAGGTTCAGCTTGATAAAAGAAGTAGAGAGTAAAGGAAGCCAAGGGGTGTGGGTCTCCTATTCAGAAGGAAATGTTTTGATTTGGTGGTGGCTGTCTCCCCCTGTGGTGTGGGTCAGGGCAGCCTCCACCTCGATTATGTTTCGGGACCCTCTTCCCTCCTCAGGATGTGATGGTGGTGGGCGAGCCGACCCTGATGGGCGGGGAGTTTGGTGACGAGGACGAGCGCCTGATCACGCGGCTGGAGAACACGCAGTTCGACGCTGCCAACGGCATTGACGACGAGGACAGCTTCAACAACTCCCCCGCGCTGGGCGCCAACAGCCCCTGGAACAGCAAGCCCCCCTCCAGTCAGGAGAGCAAATCCGAGAACCCGACGTCGCAAGCATCGCAGTAAAGCCCTCACCCCCAGCCTGGCCTTCAACGGACTTGGCTGGCGTCCCCATGGACTGAGTCGAAACCGTTCTACCTGGACAATTTGTGAAGAAGAGTAGCCGGCTGGCTGGCCGGCAAGGTATCAGGGCCGCTGGGCCTTGAAGCACCAGCCTGCCCACCTACCTGCCTCCAGTTGGCCTGGCCACCACTCCCTGACGTCTGCACTCTTGGCTGTGCCCTTTAGGGCAGACTTGGGGTGCTGGGCCTGACGGAGCCGGGGTCTCACTCTAGGCCTGGCAGAATTTTAACTCCTCCTCCCTTCCCACCCACGCATCCAGCGCTCTGGACAACACAAGCAGCACTCCTGCAGGATGCCGTTCCGTGCTCTTTATACGCCCCGTTGGAACCTGACTGGCACGAAACACCTCAGGAAGGGAAGGGGCCACGAATGCTCTTGGCCATTTGGCAGAATGTCCAGCCCTAAGCACGTTTTATATAGAAGTCCAGCTCCATATTTGGCCTCAGGGGGGCTCCCTTCTAACAGGAGGGTCTGGCAATGTCACGGGGGCAGCTATGATTTCTGTGGGGTGGGTCTCAAGCAGTCCGTCCTGGCGGCTGTAGGTGCGGCAGTGGGGCTGCTGCTGCCCCGCCTGAAGACAAGGGGAGTTTAATGCCTCCTGGAATGGGGTTAGAAAGCAACCCTGCAGTTGGCCTGGTGAGGGCACCTGCCCCTTTGGGTCTGGCCTTCTGCCTGACCTGCTCCTACAGAAAACTGCAATCTTGACCCCTCCCCTGTACTTTGGGTTTGGTTTTTTGTTTTTTTACAAAAAAATATTATTAAAATTGTACGTTTAAAAAAAAATCTGCCCTTCCTCCCTATTTCCCCCCAGTCCTGATTTTTGTACAGGCTTGTCTACCAATTGGGAGTCTTGGTTTTTATATACAGTTCTGAGAGCTTCAAACCAAGGAGAGACTTTGCAGACTTCCTTTCTACATCCTTTGAGGACAGCATGGCTGCCCCACTTTGCCCCCTCTGTGTAACTTGTGTGTGCTGCTGTCCTTGCTCCCTCCCTTCTCTACCACTCCCCCCCCCCCTTTCGGGTTTGTGTACCTTGTGCTTGTATATTTCCGCGCTGTAGGCTGTGTGTATGATACTGTTCTTTCACTGTGTTCTCAATAATGCAGCCGCCCCCACCAGTGGTTGGGGGAGTTCATTGTGATGGGCGTCCTTTGTGGGAGGCAGGAGAGTTCAGAGGGTACTGTCACCAGTTTACAGCAGTGCAGAACATGGGGAATGGGGGTGGACGCAACCTGGAGATGGGGTAACACGTGCTTTGTAAAGAAGGGTGGCCATTTCCTCCATTACGGAGTGAGGTTCTAGGTAACTTTTTTTACAGCCTCCATCCTTCCTGGTGGGGAGTGACAGGGCTTACGAAGGTTCCCAAAGGAAAGAAGACCTGTTCCTAAACTCACCCAGTTCACTCTCTGGTGTTTGGATGTCACTCAACATTTCCCACCTGCAATTCCTTACTCTTAATTTTGTCCCGAGAACCATGGAGAGAAGTTGCGTTGTCATGGAGGCCTCAAACCAACCATCTGTCGAGCTTGGGTTGCCATGCGTGAGGTAGCCCCCAAAGTCTTTTGGTCACCTCATGGCATGGACTGATTGTGAGGGTGGTGGCATTTAGAGGGCACAGTCTGGACTGTCATGGCAACCACCCTTTGCCTTACTTAGACTGTTTCTCTAAGCAGGTCCCAGACTGCAAGGGGCTTTTCCTAGGAGGATGGCTGCCGCCAGCTTACCCTAGAGCTGCTGTTTCTGGCCATTGCTCTGTGTTAGACGCCACCTGGCTCATGCGCTGGAATCCCATAAATACTCCATTCCCCTGGAGGAGCCCAGATGGATCAACCTGGAACATGCTTGGGGTGTGGGGTGGGACTGGTCACTTTTTGTGTTACTGGGCCCAGATGCTCCATTCTGCTCTATCCCCCGGGAGTAGGCAATACAACAGTCAATACTATAATTTACAGGGCGTTTTTCTGTAACCTTTTTGTACCTAAATATATGAGTGTCACGTCCCCCATTGCTGTGCTCGGCATGAACTGGTGACGTGAACTCTGTCCCCTCTCCCCACCCTTCTTGACCTTTCCACCTACCACTTCCCCCCCGGGGCACTGTAAAGCCTTTTTTTTTTTTTTTTGCATAGTTTGTGCCATTTATGGTCATGTATGGTACCAATAAAACAACTTTTTTCGGTTTGGTGCTCTCCTGCCAGAGTCGTTTCTCATCGGACCTTGAGGAAAGGGACCTGTTCTCCCTTGCTAGGTGAGGCTTGGACTTCCTCGCTTAGCCTGAAGACTTACCTGTTGTTCCCTGATGCCAGCCTCTCCCAACCTTCAAACTCTCATCCTTCTCTCCTATCCGTCCTCCCTCCCATCTCCACGGAACTGTGTTTGCTGGTATAACCCATTCTGCGACTTGTACACCAGGAAACAAAAGAAATAACAGACACATCGAAAAATCACAGAAAATGTGAGGGCATGGATCAACAATGCTGGTAGTGATTGGAATGGCATAGCTCCTAGAAACATGGAGTTGGGAGTTTGCAACACGGCTTCTTACCTGCAATAGTAAAGTGTCCTACATCACTGACCCAAGCAGCCATAAGCCATGTTGTAGGGAGATGGGGGGAAAGAGGGAAATGTTATTTCAGGCTGGCTAAGAGAGTCACTTGTTAAGTACTTAGTGGTGGAAAAGCATGATAGGCAGCAGTTCTTTGAACAACTTACGATGGAGTGCCAACTGCAAGAGCCATCTTCCTGCCTCACTAGCAGTGGTCACTTCTAGCGTTATATTTCCCTGCCCCTGCATGTGTTTTCAAAATGAAGGCAGTGAAGCTACTTCAAAGTAGTTGTAACTCTTCAGTTGTAACTCTTATGGTGTTCGAAAGGCCATCTTAACCCATTGTGAGACCTGTGTTTTGCAACCCTCCTCCCTGTTCCACATCTCCTATTTGGAACAGACCTTTCCAACATTTCAAAGACAACCGGGTATTTTGACCGCGCTCCTGTCCCTTCTCCATGCAAATTTAAAAAGTGAGGATGGAGTGGTAACCTCTGTCAGCAAACAGCCACAGCACAAACGTGCCTGGTTCTAGGTAGGCCTTTATTCTTGTTTTAAGCTTAAACACATTTGTTAGCAGTTGCTAAACTGTTGGATCCCATAGGCACAAACCTGTTGAAAGAGAAGAAACCAACTTCTCCAAAGCCTGGGCCTTTATTTCTTTAACCTTTATATGACAGGCCTACTCAAGGGAAGCCCTAAGGAGTTTTCCGTCAGGATAATTATTTGTGCTGCTTTAGAAACCTATAACTTTGGGTGGCTGAGGGGGAAATGGGCCTCCACGCTTTTGTTCTGACAGCAGCCTCCTGGTGCCTTGGCTCTTATCCCGAAAGCAGTTAACCACAGAGATGCAAACAGGCCACAGTGCTTGTGCTGTTGAGGGTGAGGACAGGAGGAGGTTAAGCAATGGTTAATCTAGCCAATTGTCCTATCCTGTTGGCAAAGGACTAAAGGTCAGGCCAGTTCTGTCATGATGCCATTGGGGAAGGCTCAGGTTTCTCACTCCTTTCCTCATCAGTAGGAGCAGCCAAAAAATACTTTTCAGGTCCAGCATCCTAGATCCTCCTTTTCCAAAAAATAAAAAAGTTGTCGTAGGTTACTAGAAACTCATAATGTTGGGGTTGAAAATTTGAATACAAATCAGCTCTGTTGTATCTTCATTGCCAGCAGCTTGCTTTTTGTGAGTTGGGACCCACAATAAAAACCCCTCTTTCCTTCAGGGTTACCTTCTCAATTTGCGAGTTGCAGATTTCAACTTGCTCATTTTTTCTTTATTGAAAGGATGCTCACTTGGGACAGAAAAGAACAGCATGTAGCTTATAGTTGGTCTTATCATTTGATGTTCAGTAGCTAATGGCAAGATTTTGTTTTTTAAAAAATCAGCTGCAGTGAGAGCTAGCATGTCCTACAACAGTACAGTGGTACCTCGGGTTAAGTACTTAATTCGTTCCGGAGGTCCGTTCTTAACCTGAAACTGTTCTTAACCTGAAGCACCACTTTAGCTAATGGGGCCTCCCACTGCCGCTGTGCAATTTCTGTTCTCATCCTGAAGTAAAGTTCTTAACCCGAGGTACTATTTTTGGGTTAGCAGAGTCTATAACCTGAAGCGTATGTAACCTGAGGTACCACTGTAACACCAAGGTGCACAGAGTCATGATCCACAGGGTTGCTTTTTGTTTTTGTTTGGCATGCAGTGAAACACTGGTGACGAAAAGAGCATACAGGGACACTGATTTCGCTGAGTAAGATAATCGAATTCATTGCAGGGCAATCCTATACACGTCTACCCAAAATTAAGTCCCATTGAGTTCAGTGAGGCTTACTCCTAGGAAACCAGGCACAGGATTGCAGCCCTAATTCCCTTTGAAATGCACACCCACTGAGGAAAAACAAAGAACCCCCCCTGCCCCCACCCACTACTTGTGCTGTAGATGCTAGGAGCTGGTGCCTTGTTCCACTGAGCAAATTGATACAGAGCAATTGCCACTTTGCCCTTCCTCTCCAGAAGATTACAGTGTGGTCAGCCTGAACACAAAGGCACTGCAGTCAGGCCAAACTGCTCTGTGAAGACGTGTTGACTTTGCTCTTGGATATGGAGGTAACATTTGGGTACATTTAGTACTCCCTATGGTCCGTTTAAAACTTGACTGTATACTCATTCTAAGGAAGAGCCACTTTTGATGCTGCAAGCTGCTTACAGGAACTTGCATTTAGGAAGCACAGTAAGTCTGCAACTTGTGTGCATTTAACTTGTGTGCATTCAACTTTATGCGCTTGGGAATTAAAAACCTCCAAAAATGTTTTAAAAGGGGGGAAAACTTTTGCAATCTCGCCCACCATTTCACCTGATGTGTTTTGATTATATGTGATTTTGGCTTTAGGCACGATCTCTGGAACGTAACCCCCATGTACGGTAAGTGGCAGACTTACTGTACATGACATTTCAGGTGTATTCAGATCCCTTTAAAATCATGTTCATTATCCCATCATTCATTGGAATTTGATTTTCATGCAAAATATGAACATCAGTATGTCATCCTATTCTGTCATGTTGTCTTCTATTATTTACGTATTGCATTTTCAGCCAGGATTGACTCCTGGAGTGACTTTTAAATAAAACACCCATATACCGTGTTTTTCCATGTACAGTGGTACCTCAGGTTAAGTACTTCATTTGTTCCAGAGGTCCGTACTTAACCTGAAACTGTTCTTAACCTGAAGCACCACTTTAGCTAATGGGGCCTCCTGCTGCCGCTCCGCCGGAGCACAATTTCTGTTCTCATCCTGAAGCAAAGTTCTTAACCTGAAGCAATACTTCTGAGTTAACGGAGTCTCTAACCTGAAGCGTATGTAACCTGAAGCGTATGTAACCCGAGGTACCACTGTATAAGACTAGGTTTGTTTTTTTACCAAAAAATTAGGTTTAAAATTGGGGCTCGTCTTATACACGGGTAGTGCTGAGGGGTGTTTTCTTAATTTGGAGTTTCCAAAAATAGGGGGTGTCTTATACATGGGGGCGTCTTATACACAGAAAAATATGGTAGATACAATATATCTATAGAGATCTTTGGGGTGGGGTAGTCTTTTTGCCCCTTGGCAGTCATTGATACAATGCAGGCTTTTCTTTCCAGAGAGAGGGAGGGCAAAAGAACTGGCAGATAGATACAGGGGTTTGGTGATGGTACAGATGGCAAACCAAAAAAGTTGCCTTTCCCTTGGTCATCATTTTAAAGAGACGGAGGGGACTGGAAAAGGCTGGTCCAAAGGTTTGCATCCCTCTTTCCTGCGTGATATGCTGCTCAACATGCCTGAGACCACACATTTAACTGTTTAAAAAGGTAAAGGTAAAGGGACCCCTGCGGTACCTGTTTAGTATGTTATTAAATGGAACAACATTGTGAAATGTGTTTCTATCTGCTTTATCTGCTTCTGATTATGTCAGTAATCTAGAAGCATTCTTCAGAGTATAGCCCTTTTAATATTCCTCCTGTGTTTCTCATAGGAGGAATGTTTTAAAGGCATATCCTGTGGGGCTTCCGGGTTGGCGCCATCAGCAATGGCGGAATTCCTCTGACCGGGAGGAATTTGCCCCGTGGGAAATTGGGTCTGGCCGCCACGGCGAAGGCGGAGACCCGTAAAAATCACAGGCGGGAGAAGCCTGTGAACGTGGGATTCGGCGGGCACCTTCTGCGCCTCCCCTACTCACGGGGAAACCCATTTTCGGGGCTCCGGAGCGACGTGGGGTGAGTGGCGCGGTGCTTCGAATTGTCTGCTTCTTCCACGGAGCGAAGCCGCACAGCCGTTGCCGGAGAGCGCTGACTTTTTCCTGTGGACAATTTGACTTTAAAGTAATTACCCGTGAGTAGAGCTGAAACGGGAGAATTGGATTTCTAAAAGTAGAATTTGGTATCGAAGCGGGGAGGTTTAAAACAGGAAGTCCGGCTCCCCCTTTTGTAAATAGACTGAGGCAGTGAAGTTGCAAGCTGGAGTCCTGGAAAGTCTTTTGTAAAAGATTAAATTTCCATCGGTAAAGAACAAAACCCCCCTTTTGGAGGGGGGGGGAGTTGTGGACTGAATATGCCTGCAGGAGAGAGCGAAGAGATCTAAAACACCGCCGCTCTGACCCTGGAAACGGGCTGCTAGTAGGACTGATGTCTTTTGGAATGTTCATTGACAGCGCTTAGAACGTTCATTGACAGCTAGTTAAACAAGAGAAATACATTGTTTCCACTGTTTTCGGCTGCGTTAAAAAGGAGTAAAAGTAACTGAAAATTGAAACTAACTTGAAACTAATTTTCGGATTGTTTAAAAGAGGATACTATTGACTATTACAAATAGAAACTGTTTCCCCCTAGTGGAAGCCTTTGAAACCGGTTGCTTTACAAGAGTTGGGTTAGGGAAATTTCCAGCTGCAAGTTAAAAATCGTGAGACTCTGGGACTGACCTTGAAGCTTTTGAGTGTTGTGGTTAATGGAAGAGGAAAAACAGACCAGTCAACTGCTGACAAAACATTAAGGTCTGGGAGGACTTGGCAACAATCCAGGAGAGGTCCACCATCAGGCCCCCCCTGCTTTTCTGAGCCTTTGTACTAGTACATGTAAAACCAAGAGAAATGTTGACAGAAGAGGCTCTAGT